AGAGTTAAATCAGTCACGTGTATTGCCTCTTCGAAGAACAAAACTTCCCTTTCAAAATCCCTGCAAAGTTCAAAACTCAACGAAACTCTGGAAAATTTCGAGAGCCGAAAAGGCCACGTTCCAACCCCTTCGACCCCTCTCTTCTACCCACAAGGCATTGGAGTCGCCGCCTTTGGCATCCAATGAAGCCGCAAAACTGCGGTTCGGCCTCCTCGGTTCGGTTTTGTACCCAGCTTGTTTTCCCATCGGCACCCCTCGTAACACCCCTGCCAGTGGCGAGTGAACCTCTGAAACCCCTTTATTCCCAACCCTCAACGCTTCGGTTCGTTGTGTGTTCAAAATGGCAAATTGCCATGCTATAGCCATCCATGCGGTTCGATGGTCAGGAGGGATCGGTTGTTGGAGGGGTTGGTCGGTTGGTTGGTTAGTTTCGCAGCCAGCTTGACTCGACTCTGATGCACCGAAATCAAATTCGTTTTGCGTGTTTCGCATAACGTCTGTGCTGCCTCCCCTTAGCTTCCCCTCCTCCTCCACCTCCTATACCTTTTGACATCCAGACACACCTTGGTCGAAATGAAAAACCCTCTCCTGCCACACTCCTCCAGTCCGCAAAGCCACCGTAATTCCTGGCCTCGTGTAAATTCCAAAACGTGCCGAGGATTCGCTTGGTTAACGCTCATTTTGTTGTTTCCTTGCCACAAATATATATATATATCTCTACATATATATATCTATGGCTATCTCTTTTGCTCGGGGGAACCTGCATCTGCCTGGCCTCTTCATTAATTTTAATGGTCATACACAACCCGGTTAATACCTTGCTTTTATTCGGTTTTTTTTTTGGGATCAAAGTTGAGGCTTATTCCCTTTATTTTGCCACACTTATCGCCTTCGCTGATCTCATTCGAAAGTCGAAAATTGCCAACGCTGATTAGATTCGGTCAATTCGGAGTTTTTATGAGTGCACCCTAAAACTAATACGTTCTTAATTGGGAGTGATTTACGGCTAACAAGATTGGCATAATGCCAACGAATAATTTTATGGCCCATTGGAAAGTCATAAAAGCAAGCAGAGGTGGTGGGTTTTAAAGGGTAAGAAGATGGCTTTCTTTGGAAGTTTATGAACTACTTTAAAATTTAAAAAAATTTTAAATATCTTATTGAGATATATAGTTAGTATTGGTTATTTTTATCAAAGTTTAGATAGAATTTTGTATCTTAAGAAGTTAGACCTTTTTTCCGTTTATTTGGCCTTCAAAATATTGAGTTTTTAGTTTTAGAAAGTATTTGATGAACTTAGTTGGGAGACAAAGAAAAGGTTTGCCTTAAGCTAGTATAAATATAAAGAAATATAAACTTATATATATAGCTAAAAGGTCGTATAACTTAAGAAACATGAAAAAAGTAAGTATCCCTTTGCCTGGCTAGCTAGTAGCATTAAGTATACGCATTTTGTGCCTTATGTCTATCAAATTTTCATCTACAGGCCATACTTTTACTAGCAACTTTTACTATATAAAACATTAACTTATTTTACTTGAAAAAAACCTATTATTTTAACACATATCTCTTCTATATTTTGATATCTTCAAGACAAATCCACAGTCCACAGTCCAATATAAAAACCTAAATATTAACATTTTCTATAGGCTGACACTCACAAAGTTTAGGCCTTTCGGAAACCCTCGAGATATGGAAAATACCAGTGTAAATATTCAAAATATTCAATTTAGCAAGTAGTTATTAAACTATGCAGATCGATTAGCCTGCCCTACCCACTCGGCCACTAATTACTTATGCATATAATGAGTGCAATCCATTAGCATTAATAACTTTGCGCGACAAATCGACGGCACGAGCTATGAAAAAAAAAACAAATGCCATTGAAATTGCTTCGCTACACACTAATAATAATATCAGTTACGTAAGCTAGGTAACATATATAAAACACGTGATTAATTAGCATATTTATATTAGTGACAGCGACGCAAAATATTTGCCAATATTTCGTAACATATATATACGAGTTTTTGAGCAAAAATCTGTTATTTTTAAACTTTATTAGTCAACAAAATAGCTCTTTTTTTGTGTAAAATTAAAAACAAAGGAATAGTTTTGGGCATTAGTTGTTTGCCTGCAAATTCGTCAACACCTTTGGGCATATTTACATTTTCAGTTAACTTATCAGGGAGTGGGTATTTGTCAATGGCGATAGCCATTTGATTAATTGCTTTTTAATGCCAATAGACTTGAGGGAAATTAACAGAGAGTTTTTGGGGTTCTTAATGTCAGATATGAGAATGTTTTTTTTTTATCTAATGGAATGTCTTTAGCCTTGATATATCACAGTTTTTGTTAATTTCGAACTTTTTGCGGAAATATTTAAGTTTTTTAATTTATAGCTTGCAAAAATAATATTTTAGTGACTTTTTTAGAGATTAGACTGAAAATTTGCTAAAGTATCTTTACCATCTATACACTGTTCTTGCTTGTTTTTAACTTTTAACTAAAAACCGAAAAAGCGATTTTTCTTTGTGTCTAGAACTGAAAACGTATTAAACTTTTGGGGTTTAATGATTGTTTTAAGGTTGTAATATGGCATTTTATAACATCAAACGAATTATAAATCACATATTAGGTAACATTTCTTTCCTGTAAATTTCGTTTGAAGACACAAAACAGCCAGAAACCATCCTTAAAGATGCTAGAACATAAATTAATAATGACGAACTATACTGATTCTAAGATATATGAATATTGAAAACCTATTTATAAAATTATCATTATAAAATATTTAGGAAAAAGGAATAACTTGACTAAAAACTTGACCAAATAAGTTAGTTTAAAGATTTTTACGGTTTTTGAAAGCTAAAAACGTCAAAAAAAAAGTTGTTTTCAAAAAGAGAATGCCTAATATAGTCGCATCCGCAATTAAGTTACCCATTAACTTAGTTAACTAGCCAAGTAATCTGCTCATATAATACATCAGCGAATCAGTTACATCAGCGATGGGCAATCAAATAGATAATAAATCATAACGACTAAGTGTTTTCAATTACCCAATTTACCAATCGCGAATCACAAAGCCGGGCACGTTCCCGCTGAAACAGTCGCAGTGCAACTAATACTTAAATGCCATTTATCAGGGGGCCATGTCGAAGAGAACGGGGTAGTGAGAGGGCGGCACATGCCAAAGCGGGTGGCCGGATGAAGCGGGACAAGGCGGTTTTGGAAAGCTTTCAGCCAGAGCGGAGGCAAAAGGCAACAACAGCAACAATAATGTACAATGTAAAGCTGATAAGTCTGTTTTCGCAAACGACAGCAAAAAGTCAAACGGCGTCTGCTGCCCCTTCTGGCTTTCCTTTCTCAATCTCTCTCTCTCTCTCTCTGTCTTTCGCTAGCCTCTCACTCTTGCCTCGTTGATTTTCCGGGGGTGCGCAGTAAAGTGCGACATTTTGCTGCTGATTAAGTAGCGTTCGTTTTTAATAAAAGTACGACAAGCAAATAAAACAACAAGTTGCCTGAAATAGCGATGTCAGCGTGACACGAATGCTAAGGTCGTGAGTGCAAAAATTAAATTTAAAGATAGATTGTGAAAGATTTTAAAAGGTAACTATTGAAAATTGAAAAGGGAGATTTTTTAAATAAATATTTCATTTTAATTTCTCATTTCCATGTTTAAATTCCATGCGAAAATTTGAAGAAAATTTGTTAAAAAGAATTTCCATATTTGCATATCTTATCACGCTCCCATCTCTGCTCTATAATCTATCGCCACCGTTGGCTGATGCACAGCTTACAGCATACATGGCCCTAAGGAAAATAGGCAAAAAGTAAAAACAGTCAAAAGCTGCTGCTTAGTGAAGCTTCCTTCGGCTCGCCTTCGTCCTTGTGCACGTCCTCGTGAATCCTTGGCTTCGTCGGCAATCGCCCTTGCAGAAGGTTACGCCACTGAGCTGGAACTGATGGATGGATGAAGGGATGCGGACTGCCTGCCTGGGTGGGTGGGGGTGTTCGGTGCACACTGACACGTGTCCCGTTATGTGGAAGCAACTGTGGCAAGGCTCTGCGGCTTTGTGGGGGGGAATACAATGACCACACTCGAGAAAATGCCACAATACCCTTTTTGATTTGTCGAGTTATGAAGAAGTGACCATTTTTTAGAGTACTCGAATGGGTTAGATAAGATAAGATTTTCATTTCAAAATATTTGATTTAGGGGAGTGATGTTTGTTTTTTAGATTGAGATTGATGTTTGAGAAAAAACTTGTTGAGATATCCTGATTTTATCTACATAAGATGTTTGATTTTGAGAAATAAATATTACTTTACTTCATTGAAATTGACTTAAGATTGTTTATTAAATTATTTTTTGGGATTAAATGGTATTAAAGAGAGAAAAGGTTCCTTTTTGATACTATTCCTAGGCAAAAAAGTAATGTTTGATGACAAAATTTCCTAATCTAACATTAAAATTGGGAAAATAATACCTAAACTTTGATTCTTAAAGCCTTTTACTTAGGATTTCTGGATCGAAGGTTACTCCTTTACAATGCAAAGTTATTTTCAAAGATATCTTTACAAATTTTCCATAATTATTACCCTCAAACTTTCTACTTACAAACCCACAAATTGTTTCCAGTGCAAACGACAGAAGCACCGACGAAGGGCTTTGGTTTTAGCGGGCTGCCATATGTTTCCGGCAAGTGCTCGCCCACACCGCCCAGACCTACCAACGCCACCCACTCCTTTTATGAGGCATGAAAAGCGTTGAAATCCGCAATGCCAACAAGTAAACTCCGGGTGCAGCGGTGGTGGCAAGACATCGGTGATTTGTGGACCCCGAGGGTTCAGAGTGGGAGGAAGTATATAGAAGGATGAGGGGACTCCGTAACTTGAGACGACTTCCTTTACGTCGAGGCGACACCTTCTGTCGACGCCGTTTGCCCTGATTTATCCACAAAGCCCATAAAAAATAATAAAAAGCCAAACACTTTTTCTTGTTATACACTGTGTTCCATTTTCATGTTTTTTTATTGTTTTCGAAAATCAGCTAATTTAACTTAGTGTGTGTGAGGGTGTGTGTGTGTGTGTATGTGTATTTTGGATTACATTTCGAGGGGTTTTTCTAACAATATTACATACAGAGACGTGCATACAATCAGATTTCTAAACATATATGCTTTATATTTTAAGTATTGTTTAGGTTTTTAGTTTAGTTAAGGTGTCCGAACAGTACAATATTGGCTTAAATAAGAGACGAGCGCTTCCTCTTACATATACAACTAGATATATATATATATAGTATATATGTATATCTCAATAATAGGAATAAATAAATATACAACAATCAGGAGTCGAGTTAGAGTTATTGGAATAGCTGGAGGTCGATCCGCAGGCCATTCAATTTGTTTGATTGCCTGGAAATTATGTTAATTTCCCGTCGATCAAGAGGGATGCTGTTAAAAAGCAGGCAGCAGGGGGGAGAGGGTTTCAAAAAATGATATAAGGGTGGATCTACCACCATGTATATGCTACACACCATCCAGCTATTCCTCTAAGAAACTAATGTTCGTTTCCCTTTCTCTCCCTCATATAAACTTTATAATTCTTTCTTGGCTTAAAGTATGTACAGTTAATATATATATTATGTAATATTATTAATAACAAAAACAAAAAGAATATCAGCTAAGAGCAAGAAGAGAATAAATGTACGACAACCTAAAGCCTTTTTGTCCAGTGTACGAATATCGTAAATATAAGAAGGAGTATATCAATATCTCTGTGTGTGGGTGTGTGTTTGTGTATTATATATATAGTATATAGTATATATATATAGTATCTCATTTGGTCGAAGCTCTAAAAATTAAAATTCATTTCCAAGTGCTGTTTTTGCCAGGGCTTCGATTTGAAATTTATGTACAAAATTCGTGCTGCAATTAAACGTAACTAATACGAAAAAAGTATCTACAAGATATATATATGCATATGTATATGTATCTATATTGGGTTATATGTATAGAAATATACGCATATGTGCCAGTGTTATTTTCTTATTATTCCGCTTTTGTTTGCTTTTGTTTATACAATAATATATATGTATTGTTTTTGTATCTTTATGCCTGACACGCTCGCTCAAAGCGGCGCAAAATCGTTAAAATTTTATCGCCCGTTGAAGAACGTGAGTGTGTATCGGGTATCGGTTAGATGTATCTTTTACTATAGGCAAGTAGGTAGTATTCCTCTGAACAATCTAACCAGCCAGCTAGCTAGCTAACCACCACCACCATCAAATTTTCACACTTCGTGCCAGTTTTTCCCGAAGGGTGTTGTGCGGGGCCAAACACTTTTCAATGTGTCTGCGTGTGTAATCAAATATTCCCGATGCGATTTCCGCTTTTCCTATCAGTTTTTTTTCTTTGTGGTTTTTTCGGTTTTTACTATCGCAGTTTAGAAAATAATTTTGCTATTTATTATTATGGTTTTTTGTTTGTTTTTTTGGCTGCTGGACTTTCCCCCAAAAAACCAAAGCAACAAAGCCAAACGAAGATCTATCTATTAAAGGCATGCGTTTTGTGTTTGTTTGTGTTTGTTTGTATCTGTGTTTGAGAGACTTTCGACCTTATCTCGGTTTAACACATATTTGCTGTTGATATTTTATAATTAATTTTTGTTGTTGCTGCCGCTTTCAAAAATGCCAACAAACGCCAGCGCTTTTGATTATTATTCGCTTCTCTCTCTCTCTCTCTTGGATTATTTATTAATGCTTTTTTGTTGCTGGCATTTTTGAAATTTTGCTTGGATTATTTATTTAGTCGCGTACTAATTCGATTGCAAATATATGCAAATGATGCGGTTTCCCCAACGAACAGATATAGTATATCTATCTGCTGGCCTTTGTAGATATTGCTTAGCTTTGAGTGTATTTCGGGTTAATTTCTAAGGCTTACGATCTCCTTTCTACGGTTTAATTAAATTGCACTTTTTCTTTCGGGAGCGAGGTTTGGCTAATTTGTGCTTTCTTGCTTACATTTCATTTTGTCCATCACCTCAATTGTTGTTGTTGTTGGTGTTTTGTAGATTCTCCAGCGGCGCCACAAGATACATTTGCGTTCCGCACAGCCAAAGAAACGCTGCAAAAGATAGAGGCATAGAGAATGAATGAAAATGTTATTCGCCTTTCTATGGGTGAAAATACAAAATGATGTAATGACTCTCTGCTCGGCCGATGTTCATTAAAAGGCCAACCAAAAAGAGCAAAAAAAAAAAAAATAAAATAACATACAAAACACAAATCGAGGGAATGCGCAAAACCAAAAAAATAAACGAAATAAAATAAAACAAAATGAAAACTAAAACAAGAAATGTGGGTAAGGTGTTAGGACTCGGAGATACCCTTTAATGGAATTTCATAAAATATTTTTTATGCTAACTTTTTGGAATATGAGTTCTTATAGGGCTATACTCGAACTTAAGATACCCTTACTGGAACCTAAGCTAGGGAGATGAACAACTTCAAACAATCTACTCTATGATTTTTTCACTTCCACAAACAGTATTAAAATCCCAACATACCCTCCTAACCCCACCATTACAGGGTATCAAAAACTCAGTGTAGTAACGTCTAAAATAAAAGCAAAGCGTCGTATGAATGACCGACCACGACCGAATGCCGAGTGACGAACGACATATAGAGCGAGATGGTTGGACAGTAGAGGAAAGCGAGAGGTAAGGAGACAGAGAGAGAGAGAGAGAGAGGGAGCCCGAGAGTACGTAGAAGAAGATACATTATTTGTGTATAATGACTACTTGAGAAAAGCCAAAACAGAAAAGAAACAATAACAATAACAACGAAACGAAAGAAAAACGTAGGCAAGAAAAGAAAACGCAAAGCACGAAATGTAATTTGTATAATTTGAGTCTCAATTCCATCAAGTGTGGGAAATGCGCCAAAAAGAAAAATTATATAGCCAACTCATAAAGGAAGTGGAAAGAAGAAAACCAAAGAAGAACTAGTCAACTTAGCCATGTTAGTAGTAAAAGAAAGAGCTAGCTCTTAGCTCTAACTGGAGAGTTGGCTTTGCTAATGTGCCGTAGAGTTTAAAAGGTCACAATGGATCGTTAGAGAGAAGGAAAAACAATTACGCGGAAGAAAACAAGAAAATAATTAGATCGGTCAAGCGTTTTTAAGCGAAACGAAGTTTTTGTTAAGGAAACCCGTCTAAAAGAAACTAGAAAGCAGCTCTTGGAAAATCAAAGGAAACTTAAATTTGTAATACAAACTGTAGTTAATATCGAATAATACTAGAAAATTATCAATTAAAAGTCATACATTACGAGGAATTAAGATCAGGGGAAAAAGGAAATGATATCTTATAAGAATATAATATAGGTTTCCAATTTTTTAATATTTTAAAAGTCATTGGAAAGGGAAAAGATTCCAAAATGCATGTCAAAAGTACAAATAAATTTCGAAAACTTTTTATAACAACAGATAAGATTGGTGATCATCATAAATTATATTCATGAAAGAGATTGAAATTGAAAAAAAAAACCAAAAAAGTGTTAGTAAATAATAAGCAAAAAGAGTTTTCATTTAAGTTTGTTCCAGTAATATTCTTTCTCTGACAAATAAGTTAGTTTAGGCAAATATTACCAAAAGAAGATCCCTAAATAGCAGAAGATCCTGTTCTTAAGGTAAATGAAACTTTCACTAAGTTTAAGCAGATTTCCAATGTTAAAAACTTACTAAAACTAAAGAGAAACGTTTACATTTTTGATTAAAAATAAAACAATCAATATGGATTGACTAAATTTCAAAACTTATCTAACTTAAATTTCACTAAAAACAAGCTTAAAAACTCACCTTGTGACTAAGCGGAACTCGCCACCGGAGCATTGGCAATCTGCACGGGCGGCTTGGCCAGCGATTCCGGTACTCCGCCGGACACACTGGAAACGCCGGAAGGCATGGGCAGCAATGTACTGGCCGCCGAAACGGTAATAGCCGTCTCCTTGGGTTCCGTTCTCGAAACGTTCGTCGTCGTCGTCGTTGTCGGCGTCGGCGTTGTTTTGGCCAATTCCGGAGACTTGGCTGCATTGGAACTGAGAACTGGTGGCGCCTCCTCGGCCAAAGCAGCTGCCTTGGCCTCGGCACGAATATTCAAATTGGCCGCCACTTGATCAATGGTCGTTGGTTTCTTGGTCATGGCCCGCGGCGATGTGGCTGCACTGCATCCCGAATTGCTATTTGTGCTACTGCTACTACCACTGCTGCTGCTGGTTGGGCTTAGTAATCCTGGATTACTGCTGGTTACCTTTGGCTTTTCCTCAGCTCGAACAGTTAGAGGTTTTGTGATGGTCGCTGGCTGATTACGAAAAGCTAAAGCTGAGGGATTGGGTATGCTTCTGACCGAAGCGTTTTGTGGCCTCACCAAGGCATTGGCATTCTTGGGTTTACTGCTGGTGGTGCTAGTAGTGCTAGCAGTGCTAGTGATGCTGCCATTACCATTGTTAGTACTACTGCTAGCTGTCTTTATGGAGATCTTTTCCCTGGCCGTTGCAGATTCCGATAGCATATGGAGATTCTGCAGATCATCGCCGTTGCCATTGCCATTGCCATTGGAATTTCCCGATGCGGCAGCGGCGGCCGTGGTGGTGGTGGTTGGTGGTGGTCCACCATTGCTGTTGGCGGATATATTCTGTTTGATTTTGTTTAAGGCTGCCTCCAGACTGTTGCTCGTACTGTTGTTGTTGTTGTTATTGTTGTTGTTGATGCTGCCAGCGGGCGGTGATGTGGGCGCCAATTTGGCGGTAGTGTTGTTGTTGTTGTTGTTGTTGCTCCTTCCCGTATTAGCTGATAAATCAAGTATATCAGCATCCTTGGTCGTGTTTACTCCTGTTCCAGCCACAGCCGCTGCCGCCGCTGACGCCGCTTGAACTGCTGGCCGAAACTCGCGCAAACTCGTTTTGGACTTGTCCAATGCGGCAGTGCCATTGGTTTTGCCTTGGCAGACAGCTGCCGCTGCTGCTCCGGTTGCTGGCGGGGATTTCTTTGAATTGGCTTCAACCTTTGGGCTCGACTTTGATGGAAACGAGTGTGGAGCGCTGTTGCTGTTGCGCAGATTTATTAATGCAGGCGGTGATGTGCGATAAGCACTGGAGTTGCTGGAGTTGCTCTTGTTGCTCCTTTGGCCACTAAGTGCAACTGACAGTGGCGGCGACTTGACAATCGTTGGAATCGTGGTCATAGGCATCGGCAAAGGCATTGGCATTGGCGGTGACTGGCTGTTAGTCCTCTTCGCCGCAGCACTATATGTTGGACAATGTTTGGGCAATGCCGCTGGTGGTCCCATCAGGCGATTCGTACTGGACGTTGCCGGCGGGCTTAGCGGTGGCATCGTTAGGTTCTTACCACCAATATTTTGCTTATTTGCCGGTAATCGTACAATTTCCAAGGCAGGCACATGGCTATTGGGTTCGGGAAAACTATAACCAGTTGGCGTGGTTCTCGGCCTTGGTGTAATCGTCACTTGAGCCGAATTGGGCAGGCTAAGACTTAAGTTGGCGGGACATAATAGCGGCAACTTATTGGCCATTTCAGGACCATAAGATCTCATCTGAGGATTGGGTAGAAACGCAGCTGCTTGCGTTTTGGCCTGGTTAATATTCTGCATATGCAATTTGGCCGTATAACTGGCCATGGCCTGAGCCTGATTCAATCTCGCCTGTTTGGCCGGATGCGTTTCGTCCAGGGACATGGAACGCTTTGGCTGCTTGTTGGCCGCACTGGCTATGGAACTCGGCGTGGACAGGTAGCGTTGCATGTTGTACATATTCCGGTTGGTTGGCGCTTGTGGCACCACAAAGTGTCCACTGTTGTTTGGCTTGCGATTATTATTGCTGCTCAATGGCGGTTTAGCGAGGTTGGTTTTAGTTAGGCTTTGCTGTACAACAGCTTGATGATGTTGCTGCGGAGTTAGCTGTTGCAGTTGCTGCTGTTTGGGTTGTTTTCCTGCCACAGTTTGTGGAACAGTTGGTGTTGTGCTGGGTGTAAAGGCCTTGAACAAGCTGGGTGGTAAAGGAGGCGAAGTGGGCAGGGTTATGTCCTTGGCTTTGGCAGGTAACACAACCTGCTGTTGTTGTTGCTGCTGCTCTGGTTCTGTGGTGGGTGTGGGCGGTGGCGTGGGTGCTCCACCCACAACTAGGCTGCTTATACTCCTTGCCTCTTCACCCAAAGTACGATTCAGAGCCTCCGAAGTGCTGTTGCTGCCACTGTCCAGTTTCAGTTGCTGCAACGCCAGCTCTCCACTGGCCAGCGAATGCGATCTCTTCAAATCCAACTTATGATTGGGTTTGGCCGTGATCTTCATCTTCATCTTGCCATCGGTTTGCGAGGAGATTTCTGCATGCAACTTCTTGCGCTTACCATTCGCATCCTTGGGCTCCTTGGAGTGCTTCTTTTTGCGCTTGCGATGGGAACTGGATGAGCTGGTCGATGTACTGGCATCAGCAGTACCCAAACTAGAACTGGAACCATTCGTGGAACTGGAACAGGAGGACATGGGCGAGGCATTGGGACTGTATTTGCTATCAGTCACATGGCAAACACTTTGAGCCAAGGGCTGTTCAATGGGCTTTAGGCCAATATTCTTGGCATATGTCTCCAGATCAAGTTGTTGGGCCGAAGAAGTCAGGGAGATGGCCGAGCAGGTATCCTCCAGACGCGGTCCCGCCGACATGGGCATACTCAGCTTGCTCTTCATACTATTCAGTTCGATCTTCAACTTTGGCAAATGACCAACTCCCTTTCGATTTGCCGTCTTCAATTCGAAATCCTCGGCATCTCCATAGGATTTGCCCAACTGCGATGGAGGAATGCTGACCACAATATTCGTGTTGGCCTCCAGTGGCTGTTGTTCCCGTTCCCGCGGCAATAGATCCATCTCCTGTTCCGGTTCACTCTTAACTTTGGATACGGCATAGTCACTATAGCGCATATCGTTGCTCCGTAGACTCTTGAACGTGCTGACCGGACTTTCCGGTTCCGGTTCCCGTTTACTCGTGGACACTCGCTTGTTTTTCGACGAGGGTGACACCTTCGGTGAGGTCTTACTTCGCACCTTGGAACGCGGTGAAACGGAATCCATTTCAGATTCCAAATCCTCGGCAAAGGTCACTGATTTGGCCGACTTGGAGCGACGCATCGAGTGCTCCGGTTCAATGTCCTGGTTAATCCTGGATAGGTTGTTCTCATCGTTTTTTGCTCGCTCACTCTCGTAAAGCAGAATCCGGTAGCAGAAGGCCATGGGCGATTGCTGAACGTGGTGAGTCACGGAGAGGGGAGAAAATGGAAATGGAAAAAGAAAGAAAGGGCAGGTTGACAAGGGTGGAAAATTCGAAAGTGGACATTGAACGCTAAACTGCCGGGACAATTGGATTGGGTTTTTCCCTTGTCCGAAATCTATCGGGTAATTGAGATAAACCACAAAAAGGGACAATAGACCGCCCAACACAGAGGGAAAAAAGGGCGTATTTCCACACTTAAAACTGACCAAAAGACGTTAAGATGGATATGTTTTTCCTAAGGTCTATTTGGGCAGTTGGAAAACCGCAAATTAAGTGAGAAACTGTAACCCTATTTTATCGTTTTTAGTTACAAGTTTCGAAATGATTCTCTTTCTGGAAAGTTAATTAATCTGAAGAATAAATCTATCAACTTTTGACTTAAAAATCTTTTAAAGAGTAAAGTTCTTATCAAAAGATAGTTCCTTTAACATTTAAATCATCCTTTTTTCCCTCTGTGCAGGGCCAATCAACAAAATATAAATCAAAAAATCAACTTACCCGACTCCAATTATAAGAATATCCCACATCCATCAAGGTTAACCTGGAGGGCAGAACCTCATCTTCATAGGTAACCTCGACTTCCACCAACTTGTTTTCCGGGTCGATGTTATATTTGGAGCAGAGTAACCGTTTCAGTAACTCCACTCGCAACCCAGCGGCACATTGCAGGTAAATTTTGGGTGGAACCTCGCCAGGACCACATTGATGCAGCATGGCGGGATGGTATTCCAGGGATAAGCTGTGGATTACAAGAAAAACAAAGACAAAAAGTTGATTAGTTTAGCTATAATAACATACATTCCCTTTGTAATCTTAACTTACCTCACAAGTTCCGTGCTGGTGAAGAACTCCTGTTCGTGTTTCGTTTCTTTATCTACCAGATCCTCATGCTGCTCTTCAAAGTCCGCCAACTGCTTGCATTCCCTTTGATAGAGGCCTGGTACTAACTTATAGATCAACGATCGCAACGTATCGTCCGATTTGAGATTTAATTCGGTGATTTCTTTGCCTCCACTGGCCTTACAGTCCGGACAGTAGACCGTCCGCAAAAGGTGTTTGAGTATGCAACTTCGGCAATCTGTGGGGGAAAGTGTAGAAATTTCGGAATTATATGGGTTTTATTATAGGTTTAAAGCCATCCATACATATCCTTAAAGGATTTACAGCTAAATTCTTTAATAAAGTTCAAGAAAGAAATATTTTTTGACCATTCTTTGAGTTTGATATAAACTTCAAGATCATTCTGCTTAAAAAGTAAGAGCTATCTAGTCATCTTATAGAATATCAAGCTACTTACACGTATGATAACAATAATCCACTGTTGTTGGATCGATCATATAGCCGCGACATAGTCGACAGGTGATCAGATCGTGAAACTGCCGGATATCCCGCGATGCTGGGGATGTGGTCTCCATATCCGAATGCGATTCTTCCGGTTTGTGCGTGATTTGCAGGTGCATCTTCCTGCCTTCTTACTCAATCCTAACACTTAGTAGCCTCTTTTCGTTATCTTGGGTCTTGAATAGAGAGAGAAGGACAAAGAACGAGGTTAAGGGGCGGACTTTCCATGTTTGGCATGTGCTCAACAAGTGACAAGTGACAAACTGACAACGATGGCTAATCAACTGTTAAGGTCTCAAACATAATAATAACAAGGGGTAACACACAATGGCCAGACAAAAACTAGGAAAATGACATATGTATATAGACAAGCTGTGTGTGAGAACCAACAGCTAGCATACAATCCCATCCCATAACCATCATCACATCACATCACCGTCATCATCATCAACCTTCTCCTCATCATCAGCATGGTTGTCGACATTTGTGGTTGTTGCTCGTCAAAAAAAAACAGAAGAAAAACCACAGAGGCAGATATATCAACTGCATATATATATACATATATATATCTGTATCTTGTCCCAAAAGATATGGCAACGTCAGCACATTCGCACAATACAGAAAACTTTAGACTAGTAAGGCAGCCATCCATATCCATGAATCGGAACAATGTGCTGCAAGCTTACAAAAATATCAAAAAAAAAAAAAAAAAAATAGTACTACAAAAGTAGCAACTTTATGGGTGGTTAGAAGAGGGGAAGCAGTGGGGGGGTTTGGGGTGGCATTTAAGAGGTGGGGTCTTTGGTCTTTCGTACGCCCTTCGTGCCACAGAGGGCAACCTAACGAGAGAAGCCGAATACAGCCGAGAGAGAAGAAGAGAAGAAAACAACAACAACAAGCACAGAAAACGATGTGATGTGCACTCGACGATGTACTTGAAGCTAGTTTTAGCTTGGCGAAACCCTCTTTTGCCCCTCCACTTCTCTCTCCTTCCTTGCCAAACTTCCCATAAAACTACGAAAATTACGCTTTTGTGCCCTGCACACCAGTGGAAACTGAATTTTCATCATTATGGCGATGCCCTGACGATGATTACAAGTTGATGGCACCCAGCCGGAGAGTTCAGGGCAAAGTTCAGAGCAAAAGGGGATCAGCAGGTTGTTTGTGAGGGACCTGGAAACTCAGAACTAGGAAACTAGGAACCTCAAGAATGTTCTCTGGAATGGTTTTAATTGTTTTACAGATTAACTTTTCTTGTTCGGTATTATGATTTTGTAATTGAAGGAAACTTAATTCCTATTTAATTTCCTTTTCGTAGATCTTAAAGATTTTTCAAGATATTTATCAGATATAAGTTATGATATAACCTACATACTCCGTTAAAATTTAAATAATATTTAGTTTACAAATCTCTGAGTTGGTTTTGAAAGTATAAAGATATTAACCTGAAATCCAAGAAATTTCCCTACAACCCCAAACGAGATCTGTTGTTTATAAGAAAAATAAATTTTAATTTCAGAAATTAGAAAGAAAGACTTTTAAGGCAAAACTCTGTAAAAAAAAAAACCGATTATAATTTAAGCTCTAATAAATAAGTCTAAAATAAAGGCAAAAAAACATAGTAATGGTATTATAAAAGTAAATATTCCGTTTAAGACATATTTTTTACAATTCTTTACAAAAATATATGTTATTTCTTACCTAAAAGATATAATTTGGTTCCAAAATATACTTGAATAAGAAACAAAAAGATAATTTTTATAAATTGTATGTTTTTAGAATGCTATGTAGTTTTTAAAGTCATAAAATTTGATAATAAATTACAAAGTATGTAAATATGTACATTGTTTGTTAGCCAATATATTAAGTTTAAGATTTTCAAAATTTCAACTCAAAGCTAGCAATGCACTTTATTTATCATTGAACTAAGTATTCAGCAAATAAAACCACCTTTTAATCCCATAGCCACCCCAAAAGGAAAAACCGCCCACCGCATAGCGCAACCAAAAGTCGCATCGCTTCGCCCATTTATTCTTTTTGTCTCTTTTGCCTTTTGATTCTTTTCGTTTTGCCGCTCACGCGAAATGGCACGCAAAGAAGAGGGCGCAAGGAAAAGGGAGCACACGTAGAAGAAGAAGAACGGAGGCTGTGCTAGCAAAACAAAAAAGCAAACAAAACAAAGCAAAAGGGAACTGGGCTGCAAAGTGGGTGGTTTTCAGAGTGGGAATGAGAGTGCAGAGCGCCCACGCCCACTCAGCTGGAAAATGACAGTCCAGCATTTGATGACGCTGAGAAATTGATGACGTCGCCGTGCGAGCGCTTTTCTTGATTTTCTTTTTTTTTGTACTCCGCTTTCTGTTTATACGCCGCAATTTCGTAAAAGGCGCGCACTCACACAGAAACACACGTGCACATATACACACACACACTTGGTCACAGCTTGAAAGTGTCGGCAATAACAACAATTACAGTTAGGCCGGCACGAGCGCCCGCAGGGTGGTTACACAAACACACACACTCGCACACTTTCTCTCCCACTCTCCATCCTCCCCTCACACACACACGCAACAAGCTAGCCGAACAACGAAGAGACTTACAAAAAAAGACGAAAACATGGACGAAAATGTACGAAATAATTCGAAGTAACAACACTGGCGAAACGATTTTTCCGCGGCCGCGTCCAGAGTTCAACTGAAATCCAATTCGAGAAATCCCAACTGCCACTTGCGCTCAATTCGCCGTTGAAGCGAGAGCGCACAAATTTGTATCTATTCGCCGCGGCGAGAGAGGCCAACAAACAAACTTTCTACTTTTGCGCGGGCGCATATTCGCCGCACGACGAAAATTCCAATACGCGGCGAGAATAACACGCACGCACACTAAACCATTTGTGTTTACAAAATTTTCACTCATGTACATGTGGAAGGGAATTTTTCTTTTTTCTTTTGTTTTTTTTTTTTCGAAATTTTATATTTTTTACGTACAATTGCAATTGCGTTGCTACTTCAAGATTTTTCTCTCTGTTGCATTTTCCTTATTGGCTTTTCCATTAAATCAAATCCATTTGCCGACACCCACACACACCCGCTTTTTATCTTCCTCTTCTTATTTTGTCACTTCAGCTGCTGTTATCGATTTCTCGTACACGCACAGATTTTCACTGTCTTTCTATCGCACACTCTCGTGCCCTCTCCCTCGCACCCTCTCTGTCACACACGTTCTCTTACTTTTTAGAGCTCGCGCTAAAGGGAAAAATATTATATTATCCGTTCCGTTCCACAAAGTGCACGGCACGAAAAGTTTCCACAGACTGATTCTGATTAGACCTGCTGGCGCTGTCGCTGCCCAAAAACTCTGCCCGTGCCTGTTCGCTCTCTTTTTTACGCATGGACTCGGGAGATAGAGAGAGAGAGTGAGGCGGACACGAGAGAGAGAGAGTGGCGACACGAGTAAAATACGAGAGAAGTAACAACCACTAGCCTACCGCATCTCTGCGCGAGCAGGATGGCATGCAGGGGGACGCTCGGCAACCAGCAGGCTATCACTTTTGCACTCTCACGAATTGGGCTCACAATGAGAATGTGTGGGTGGCGGCGTTCCTAATTGAATCCAACTGTCAAATGAGAGAGATTAACGCACATATTCATATGTATGTGCGTGCAGTGTGCCCGTGTATTGGCCTTGGCGTTTATAATTAACGCAAAAATGCCCGTTTTTGCTGATTTTTTTCGTTTTATTTTGGTCCGCCGCTGGCATTTCATTTTGTTACGAACCTGTTTTTGGCCATATGCAAAGTGCGTCGCGTTCGCATCATTTGCCGCCACTTTATTTTCCAGCAAGATGAAAAGTCCAGGGCAAATATGGTTAAAAGAAAATTTGCATTTCAAAGGATTTTGACATTGTCCTTGAAATATTTGTCGCACGTTTATGTATGTAAAAACAAAAAGGGGGCCAAAATATACTTCACAACATTACGCTTGATCGAGTGACGAAGATAAATGATGTTAGGAAAACAAGTCCGTGATGTGACGCCCCATTTTCCGCACATCTTGAAAGGTCAAGAAATTCTTGAAATTTTAGGTCTCTAGAGAGAATGCGAAAGACAGATTAATAACTACAGGCTTATTTCCATACTTCAAAGTTTGAATGTAGTTAAAAAACATTTCAAATTTATTGGCCAAACAAAAGAACTTAAAAATTCATTAACTAACCAATAGAGCTAATAACATCATTACCATTACAATTAGTATATCCAACTTTATAGCCTCGTGATTAATAGTCGCGCTAACCATCAGCGCCATCTATTGGGAGATTTTTTAACATGAAAAAGCCAAAATCCCGCATAGAAACTCTATATAGATTTTTGAACAAAATTAAAACAAAAATTACATGTTTTACAGCCTATTGGCCAGTGAAAAATAAAGTTGGAAAATAGCTCGACTGACGTTAAAGGCCATCCAGTTCATTTTAATCATATAGTCTCCTTCGGGAAAAGGCAAAAGATAAGTCATTCGGTCGTTTATAATCTTAGTTGATAGCTTATCAATCACAAGGTCATGCTGAAATTCACATTTCTATTAATGATTTGAGTTAATTAAGATTATACGTAGGTACTTACGTTATAGGGGCAAGAATGGTTGACATTCGATACATTCTTAAAGGCGTAGTAGAGGTATTTCCCGACTGGATTTGAATTTGGATTCGCTATGAATCTGCATCCATCCACAGTTACATTGTAGAGAAAGGGCTTATAGCCATTAAATCGCTTATAAAGTGCCGCATTTATCTAGATTGAATTTTCATTAAGATTATCTGAGTAGTTTATATCTAACGACATACCTGAGCATTGGTTATGGGAAGCTTCAAGAGATTGACCTTTACCGAAAAGTATTTATAAGTTCGATTTATGGACTTTAGCCGACACGTTTCAAACTTGGAAAAGTTCTTATCCACTGACTGGCACTTGATGTTCGTAAACTCAACTAGAGAGTGCACCTGGAAAGTACAGTTTCGGAGTAAACTTATGGTATATCAACTTTACAGGTATCTTGATATCGTACCTCCATAATGAAATATCCATTTACCAGAAAGGCAACTAGGAGCTGCAGTTTTCTATTCATCCTTTATGCTTGACGTCGCCACGGAAACTAGATTTATTTTTTAATTTTAAGCATGCTTGACTTTATTAAAACCATTTAAAAAGGCTCACTAAATACCTATTTATACAATTATTAGATCATCAGCTAGTTAGGCTAAGTGGGGTTTTATTTTTCAATGATTGCTTTGGATTTCGACTATTAAAAAACGTTTACGATTGACATTTAAGTTCATTTTGAAGAGAAAAGGGTGATGAGTCTGTTAAATGAAGAATAGAATAATATAAAATTTGCATTACCCTATTAAATACTTTGAATATTTAATCTCAGTGTAGTTTTAAGTAAAATGAGAAAATTAAGCATAAATAACGACAAAGCATTTTCCGGTTTATGATTTTTTGGATATTAAATAATGCCATGTCAGCGATAATTTAGCAGCAATTTAGATCTCGTGTTCGTGATATATTATATAGTTCTATATTATAATTCTATATTATTAATACAATATGATAAATAATAATATTTGTAGGTCTAGTTGACCGATTTCAGAAGGCAATACTCAAAACCGCTGAAATTAGTATCTATTGACTCGATTTTGGAGTTCGTGAACTCAACTAGGAAATGAACCTGCAAGGTACAGCTTAAATAATCGTTTATTATTTTCTATTTCGTGAGTAAAATGATTTTGTACCTCTCGGATGAAGAACAGCAGAGAGAAAATGCAGTGTTTTACGTATCTTTTCTGATTTAAGTCTTAGTTTTTCAAGAACAGATCAGGTCATAAAAACTAAAAAGGGTAAATAAATCCACAGAAAAATGTATAATATTACTTTTATACATTACAAACATCAAACATTAGCGCATTTTCCGGTTTATGATTTTTGAATTTGAACGACCGACACTTGTCCAGCAATTTAGATCAACTCAGATTGATTATTTTTTACTCGTTATATCTTTATTGTTGCATTGAAGCAAACACCATATATTCCCCAAAGTTTATTTCACAATTCAGCTAATTATATGTTAATGTTCAAGTCATTGAGACGTATACCTTAAACACAGCTCGCATAATGTCATAGGCTATCCAGTTCATTTGAAACAAGTACTTTCCCTCCGCAAAAGGCACAACATTAGTCATTCGGTGATTAAAAAACTGAGTTGTTATTTTATCCACCTCAAGGTCATGCTAAGATATAATCTTTATCAAGTTGTTCAGTCATTTATGTTTACTTGTACTTACGTCGTAAGGGCAAGTGTGGTTCATGTTAGAATTATCCTTAAAGTAGTCATAGATGTAGCCAGCAAGTGGATTTGAGGTTGGATTTCTTAGGAACTTGCAGGCATCAACAGTAAAATTGTAAAGATAGGACTTATGGCCATTGGCGAACTTATAAATGCCAGCGTTAACCTGTATTAGACTTTTGAAATTCCAAACATCTTTCAAACAATTGCAACTGCATACCTTAATTTTGGTTACCGGGATTTTAAGGAGATTCACTTTAAGCGTACAATATTTGTAGGTCCGGTTCACCGACTTCAGATAGCAATATTCGAAATTGCAGAACTCGGGGTCCACTACTTCACATTTGATGTTGGTAAATTCGACTAGAGAATGGACCTGTACAAAAACAGCTCGCTGGGATGATTTTTCGTATTTGATTGTCGATAAGTAACATGAATTTTTACCTCTCCGATCAAATGTACATTCACCAGGAAAGCGACGAGAAAATGTAGCTTTCCATTCATCTTCTATGGTTGATATCTCCACAAAAACTGAGCTAAACTAAGCTCAGCTGTACCATAAGCCGTGTAGAGACCAATCAGGCAATGATTTTTGAAGCAATAAAATGTGCACTAATTAGTTTATAAATGCAGTGATCAATTTTTTTTATTTTTACTAATTATTACACAATGTTATTATTATAATATTGTACAATATTAACACAAAAAAAGTCTAAGATTAAAGCAATACAAGAAAAAAACAAGAGGAGACGAAGGCATTTATAATATTATTATAGACGCTGGCGTGGCCGGATAAAAATTTGCAGTGGCAACACTAAAATTCGTACTCTTAAGCCGAACTTTCTCGCTCTTTTAATTGCCGAGATTTTTGCATTCTTGGTTTTTCGGGTTTTGCATATGAGGCATCATAAAAATCTACATGCTTAATCCGAACTTTCTATCACTTATAGTTACCGAGATATCAGGTTTTCTTGAAAATGCGAAAACCGTCTTTCGAGCTTGGTGGGCGTATGAAGACGCGCTGGTATCAAAAGTTTATACGTACTGAATTTCTTGCTAGCTCTATCCCGAGATTTTAGCTATTTTAGTTTTTCGCGATTTGTGGGCGTTAGAGTGGGCGTGGAAGGATGCTGTAATAAACTTGCGCTGTCCCGGGACCTCAAGAATCTTCATGCTTAATCTCATCTTTGTATCTGTTATAGTTCCTGAGATCTCAGCGTTCATACGGACGGACAGACGGACATGGCTCAATCGACTTCGCTATTGATCCTGATCAAGAATATATATACTTTATAGGGTCGGAAACGCTTCCTTCTATCTGTTACATACTTTTCAACGAATCTAGTATACCCTTTTACTCTACGAGTAACGGGTATAAAAACGTTTTATTTTTTAGATATTCAGATACCTTAAACACAGCTCGGACAATGTGATAGGCGACCCAGTTCAGCGTTTTAAAAAGGTAATCAGCTGTATCCGTTTAGATGGAGTACTCGTATTTTCTAACTTGACTAGAATCAAGTAACAATCCAAGCAATTTTCAAGGATAAATATGGTTTATGAATATTTTTGTATCGAAAACAAACTTTAAAGTCAAGCAAATGATGAGAGTTTTTATCTATTTTAGTACTTAAGAGCATATATATGGGAAAATACACTTTTTCTTTCATTTAAAACTAAGAAATTTAACATGAACTAGATAATTTTACCCACTTTAGCCATTGTGGATCGTTCACATTTTTATTATTGCATTTATGTTTACAGTACATGAAAATTCTGATATTAAGAATAAATTTTCTACTTTAACTGATATCATAGATCATCCAACTAACAATTGTACTTAAGATAGTATGATGTATATCTTGAACACAGCTCGCATAATGCCATAGGGCATCCAGTTCATTTGAAACAAGTACTTTCCCTCCGGAAAAGGCAGCAGATATTTCACTCGTTGGTTAAAAAACTCAGTTGTAATTTTATCCACTACAAAATCATCCTGAAATCTGATGTTTAGCAAATCGTTCAGTTAGATAAAGTCACTTACATTGTAAGGGCAAGAGTGGTTTATATTGGAAAAATCCTTGATGAAACCATAGACGTAGTTAGTAACCGGGTTGGATTTAGGATTTTGCAGGAACTTGCAGGCATCAACAGTAATATTGTAGAGAAAGGGCTTATAGCCATTAGCAAACTTATAAATGGCAAAGTTCACCTATACTGCACTTTTAAAATTTTATATATCTTTCAAACATATTTCACTGCATACCTTGGCTTTGGTAAGCGGAGTTTTATAGAGATTCAATTTAACCATAAAATATTTGTATGTTCGGTTAACCGATTTCAAAAGACAATATTCGAACTTGCAGAAATTGGGGTCCACTGCATCACATTTGATGTTCGTAAACTCCACTAGAGGTTGAACCTGCAAGGTACAGTTCACAGGGATGAGTTTTTGATTTCGATTTTCGATAAATGAAGTGGATTTTGTACCTCTCTGATCAAATGTACATTCACCACGAAAGCGACGAGTAAATAGAGTTCTCTCTTCATCTCTTAGGTCGGAGGTCTAAAAAAATACTGATTTAGGATTTAAACGTACCTCCACGTACCTCCACTGTTTCTGAAACCATTTTAAAACCAATTATTTTGGCTAGACTGCAGCACTTACGTAAACGTCAATTAAATAATAAAGTTAATAGAGCAATATTTTGCGATTTTAATAATTACTTTTTGAATTGCAATTTTAAAAGAACTTTCATGCATGAAAAATGTACTTTAAGGTTCAAATATTTTAAGAGGTAAAAATCTATCCATAAAGTTTGATAATAGAATTTTAAAAATAATAAACCCCAATGATGATAAAAGTAAAACAAGATAAGGAAATGTGATTAGCATCAGCTCTTTTTCCGGTATTTGATTTTTGAATATATGTTAATTGAACCAGTGAGGTGGTTTTTTATTCGGATTCTTTATGTTCTTATGTGTCAGTTTATAATAATATATGTTTGAAATAATAGTCAAAATATTTGGATTGAACCTGCAAGGTACAGTTCGCAGGGATGAGTTTTCGATTTTCGATAAATTAAATGGATTTTCTACCTCTCTGATCAAATGTACATTCACCAGGAAAGCGACGAGTAAATAGAGTTCTCTCTTCATCTCTTAGGCAGGAGGTCCGAAAAAGAACTGATTTAGATTTAAGCTAACCTCGACTATATCTAAAAGCATTTAAAAGCATTCATTTTGGCTAGATTATGGTACTTACTTTAATAGAGCAATATTTTGTTGTTTACCTAATTATTTTCATTAAGTTATTTTCATAGAAAATGGCTTAGTATGGCCTTAAAGTTCAAGTCAGGATTTACAAATTCTAAGAGGCAACACGATCCACACAACCTTTTATAATATTAAACTTACTTATATTAAAAATATTTCAGAAATTAAATCTCAGTCTAGATTCACGTGAAATAAAAATAAAATAAAATGATTAGCATCAACGGGTTTTCCGGTGTTTCGTGGTTGGATGTAGATGGTAATTGCCCAGCACTTCAGATTTAGTCAGGTGAATATTTTTGATTCTATATATTTCTGTTCCTGAATTTATGTTCACACTGTATGACATCAATAATACATTTTCATCTTATAATATTGTTCAAGTCATTGAGAGGTATATCTTAAACACAGCTCGCATAATGTCATAGGCCATCCAGTTCATTTGTAACAAGTACTTTCCCTCCGAAAAAGGAAGAACAGTAGTCATTCGGTGATTAAACAACTGAGTTGTTATTTTATCCACCACAAGGTCATGCTAAGATATAATATTTATCAAATTGTTTAGTCATTTATGTTTACTCGTACTTACGTCGTAAGGGCAAGTGTGGTTCATGTTAGAATTGTCCTTAAAGTAGTCATAGATGTAGCCAGCAAGTGGATTTGAGGTTGGATTTCTTAGGAACTTGCAGGCATCAACAGTAAAATTGTAAAAGTTGGACTTATGGCCATTGGCGAACTTATAAATGGCAGCGTTAACCTGTATTAGACTTTTGAAATTCCAAACATCTTTCAAACAATTGCAACTGCATACCTTAATTTTGGTTACCGGGATTTTAAGGAGATTCACTTTTACCGTATAATATTTGTAGGTCCGGTTCACCGACTTCAGATAGCAATATTCGAAATTGCAGAACTCGGGGTCCACTACTTCACATTTGATGTTGGTAAATTCGACTAGAGAATGGACCTGTACAAAAACAGCTCGAATTGATGTTTTGATTTTCGATTAGTTACATGAATTTTTACCTCTCCGATCAAATGTACGTTCACCAGAAAAACGACGAGAAAATGTAGATTTCCATTCATCTTCTATGGTTGATGTCTACACAAAAACTGAGCTAAACTAAGCTCGTCTGTACCAGAAACCGTATAGAGGCCAATCAGGCAATGATTATTGAAGCAATAATATAATATATGCACTAATTATTTTATAAATGCAGTAAACAATTTTTTTTTATTTTTACTAATTATTGAAAAACTTTTCTGCGTGAAATGAGAGCATTTGTACAAAAAGGCCGTGTAAGTACGAATTATAGTCTACAATTTTAAGTGATAAACCCATAAAAAAAAGTTTAATAATATTACTTTGATATTTTTTGAAAAAACACTTAAAAAAAAGTCTAAGAGTAGATTAAAGCAATAAAAAAAAAAAATTAAAGGATGATTAACATCAGCTTATTTTCCGGCATATGGTTTTTGAAAATTGTCCAGTAATTTCGATCCATTCTGGTGGATATTTTTAAACTCTTGATACTAAAATAGTATGCGTCCAACGAGGGTAAAATGTAGACTTTAGACACAACTCGGTGAATGTCGTAGGCTATCCAGTGCATTTTGAGCCTGCATTGCAGAATATTAGTCACTCAAGGCTTGTGAACTGGAACTATAAGTATAAATAAGTGGGAATGGACCTATAAAGTATAAAACTTATATATCTTATACTTCTAAGAATTTGATCCTTTTTACCTCTCTTGTCCACGAAGGCAAAGAGTTAAGGCGAGTTATCCGCGGGGACTGATTCAAATTTAAGCAGCAAAAAAACAAATATTACCTTGAACAAACGATTTTTATATTCAACTATTAACTTTAAGTACTAGCAATTGAAAAAATATATTATATGATATATAACAATATATTATATTATATTAACAATGCCTATATTATTATTTATGTTTCAAATTCCCAAGCAATAAACGTAGTGACGAATATCACAGTGAATGGCCGCCTATCTAATAACGTGATTTTAAAGACTACATTTTTCAATCTTTTAGCCAACAATTTATTAAAATAAAACATTTACCTAGCTTGTAGGTTAAAATGAAGAGATAAGATGAGAGAATTTTCACAATAAATTATTAAGATAAAAAATAAATTTAATTGAAATTGAATACTTCCCGTCTGAAACAGCTTTTTTTACTGGTCAAAAGTTGGCAGCACTGCTGGGCAGCTAAGGGAAAGAATAACTGTTACTCAACTTACGGTTGAGTATTTACTAATACAAAAACAAGGATATGTGCACATATTTAGTAAAGCTTTTGTGTTGGTTTTCCGCTGGGCACTGAGAGAAAGAATAACTGTTTCTCAATTCCACTGCGAAATAAACTTGAAATTGCAAACAGAAGTTACAAAAAATAAATTACAGTGCAAAACTTCAAGGAAGCGCAAGGAGGAACACGAAAAATTGTTTGTAGAATATCGTCGCGAGCCCTCAAATCAAAATACAATATTTACACTGATTCATTCTTATACATTCTTTAATATTTAAGAAATTATAAAGTGTACTGAAATAACAGCCTTTAAAATGTCTCTGTACATCCATTTCAATTTTAGCATGTACTTCCCCTCCGGAAAAGGCAGAAGAGCAGTAACTCGATGATTAATAAACTCGGTTGATACCTTATCCACCACAAGGTCATGCTGGAAATGTATATCTCTAAAATTGTTCAGTTAAAAGATTTTATATAAGAGCACTTACGCTGTATGGGCACGTGTGGTTCATATTGGAATAATCCTTAACGAAATTATACAGATACGCAGCAACAGGATTGGATTTTTGATTTTTTAAGAACTTGCAGGCATCCACAGTTATGTTGTACAGGAAGGGCTTATAGCCATTAGCGAATTGATACAGTCCGAAATTGCCCTGGATTGCATATATGTTACATATGTATAAAAGTTTTGGTATCAAAGCAATATATGGTATACCTTAGCGTGGTTCAGGGGAATCTGGAAAAGTTTCAGTTTTCCTGATATGTATTTATAGGTCCGGTTCACAGACTTCAAGAAACAATATTCGAAATCGGAAAAGTTTTTATCCATTGACTCGCACTTGAAGTTCGTAAACTCCACTAGAGAATGGACCTGCCAGGTAGAGGCTGGATTATATTGATGTCTACCCCGTATGTATAATTAATTTTCACCTCTCTGATCAGATGTACATTCACCAGAAGGGCAATAAGAATGTTAAGCGGTCTCCTCATCTCTTAGGCTGGAGGTCTAAAAATGAACTGATTTAGGCTTAAACTAAGCTCGACCGTAAGTCTACCATTTAAAAGTCAATTATTTTAGATAAACTGAAGCACTTACGTATACACCAATTAGATACTATATTTAATAAAGCAATTTTTTGCTATTTAAATAATTACCTTTTTAATTGCAACTATTGAAGCACTTTAATCCATGAAATATGAGTTACTTTCAAGGATAAGGCTTAGTGAGACTTTAAAGTGCAAGTCAGGATCTACAAATTCTACGAGGTAACACAATCAACATCAAATTTAATAATAATTAACACTAACACTGTATAAAAAAAGACTTCAAAAATGAAATCTCAGTGTAGATTAACGTGAATTAAAGATAGAAAAAATGATTAACATCAACAGTTTTTCCGCTGTTTGATGGTTGAATGTATATGGTAATTGGCCAGCAATCTATTTAAGTGGAATATTTTTTGAGTTTTCATACATTTATTTTTTAATTTATGATCTCAGTACATGAATGTTCTGATATCAAGAATAGATTTTCTACTACAACTGATTTCATAGATCATCCAGGTAATACTAGTATTGGGCAAATTAGTTCCTTTGCAGCAAGTACTTTCCCTTCGGAAAAGGAAGGATATTTAATTGACATCACTTTTTTTTCCGGTATTTGATTCTTGAATATGTTATTTGAAAATGCCCAGCAATTTAGATACAGTAAGTGGGGTTTTTATTTTGATTCTTTATGTGTATATAACGTCATTACTAAGATAGTTTACAATAATATATGTATGAAATATTAGTCACGACTTTTGGATGTATAGCTTAAACACAGCTCTGATAGTGTTAGAGGCCATCCAGTTCATTTGGAACAAGTACTTTCCCTCCGGAAAAGGCAGAATTTTAGTCACTCGGTCATTAAAAAACTGAGTTGACAGCTTATCCATCACAATGTCATGCTGAAATCTGATGTTTAGCAAACTGTTTAGTCATTCAGCGATACTTACGTCATAGGGGCAAGAGTGGTTTACATTGGAACGATCCTTGAAGAAACCATAGACGTAGCCAGCAATGGGGTTGGATTTTGGATTTCTTAGGAACTTGCATCCATCAACAGTAACATTGTAGAGAAAGGGCTTGTAGCCATTGGCAAACTTATAAATGGCAAAGTTCACCTGTATTAAACTTTCGAAATTTTAAATGTCTTTTCTAAATATTTCACTGCATACCTTAATCTTGGTTACTGGGATTTTAAAAAGATTCGCTTTTAGCGAATAATATTTGTAGGTTCGATTCACAGACTTCAGATAGCAATATTCGAAATTGCAGAAATTGGGGTCCACTGCATCACATTTGATGTTCGTAAACTCCACTAGAGGTTGAACCTGCAAGGTACAGTTCACAGGGATGAGTTTTCGATTTCGATTTTCGATACGTGAAATGGATTTGCACCTCTCTGATTAAACGTACATTCACCAGGAAAGTGACGAGTAAATAAAGTTCTCTCTTCATCTCTTAGGTCGGAGGTCTAAAAAAATACTGATTTAGGATTTAAACGTACCTCCACGTACCTCCACTGTTTCTGAAACAATTTTAAAACCAATTATTTTGGCTAGACTGCAGCACTTACGTAAACGTCAATTAAATAATAAAGTTAATAGAGCAATATTTTGCGATTTTAATAATTACCTTTTGAATTGCAATTTTAAAAGAACTTTCATGCCTGAAATATTTACTTTAAGGTTCAAATATTTTAAGAGGTAAAAATCTATCCATAAATTTGATAATAATACACCTACAGAATTTTAAAAATACTTCAGAAATAAACCCCAATGATAATAAAAGTAAAATAAGATAAGGAAATATGATTAACATCAGCTCTTTTTCCGGTATTTGATTTTTGAATATATGTTAATTGAACCAGTGAGGTGGTTTTTTATTCGGATTCTTTATGTTCTTATGTGTCAGTTTATAATAATATATGTTTGAAATAATAGTCACAATAGTTGGAGGTATAGCTTAAACACAGCTCTGATAGTGTCATAGGCCATCCAGTTCATTTGGACCAAGTACTTTCCCTCCGGAAAAGGAAGAAGATATTTCATACGTTGATTAAACAAATCAGTTGTAAGTTTATCCACCACAAGGTCATGCTGTAATCGAATGTTAAACAAATCGTTCAGTTATATAAAGTCACTTACGTCGTAGGGGCAAGAGTGGTTCATATTGGAAAAATCTTTGAAGAAACCATGGATGTAGTCAGTAACCGGGTTGGATTTCGGATTTTTGAGGAACTTGCAAGCATCGACAGTAACATTGTACATGAAGGGTTTATAGCCATTGGCAAACTTATAAATGGCAAAGTTCACCTGCTTTGCACTTTTGAAATAAATATTTAAATATTTTTTTAATTTAGTTCACTGCATACCTTAACTTTGGTTACCGGAATTTTATAGAGATTAACTTTTAGCATAAAATATTTATAGGTCCGATTCACCGACTTCAGATAGCAATATTCGAAGTTGCAGAAATCGGGGTCCACTACTTCACATTTGATGTTCGTAAACTCCACCAGTGAATGGACCTGGGAAATACGACATATAGAAATAACTTTTTATAGGTTTATAGACCACCATGATATATGGGTTATTACCATATTTCCAACAACTAAAAGATAGATAAGTACAATTTTTTCCTTTCTATTCAACATGGCGTATGCAGAGGAACTGATAGAGAATTCTTAACATTTGAACTCAACATTACTGATTATTTCGATTAGTAATTTTACGGCTCATTTACCATTGCCCAATTTTATTATAACAATTATAGATTACGTTATGTTTTGATGAGGAATAAACTGTGTTAATGTCTAGTTTATATAGCCTCTATTGTGATTACCTTCATATATGATCTAAATACAATTTATATCTGGTCTTAAATGTCTAAAAATGAAAGAGATCTTGAGCTTAAAACACAAAAAACTGAGTAATTATGCAGTTCTAGAAATAAATTAATCATTTCCGACCTTTTTTAAGTCCGTTTGACACTGCTTGACCCTTCTTTGTGTTTCATAATTTTAATAAATTCATTTAAGTTCAAGAGTCCAATGTGTAGGAAAGGTTGTTTTGTATTTTTATTGCTGAACTTATGTTAACAGTGTTTGACATCAGTAATACATTTACAGCTTGTTATAATGTTCAAGTCATTGAGACGTATATCTTAAACACAGCTCGGATAATGTCATAGGCCATCCAGTTCATTTGGAACAAGTACTTTCCCTCCGCAAAAGGCAAAACATTGGTCATTCGGTGATTGAAAAACTGAGTTGTTATTTTATCCACCTCAAGGTCATGCTAAGATATAATCTTTATCAAGTTGTTCAGTCATTTATGTTTACTTGTACTTACGTCGTAAGGGCAAGTGTGGTTCATGTTAGAATTATCCTTAAAGTAGTCATAGATGTAGGCAGCAAGTGGATTTGAGGTTGGATTTCTTAGGAACTTGCAGGCATCAACAGTTAAATTGTAAAGATGGGACCTATGGCCATTGGCGAACTTATAAATGGCAGCGTTAACCTGTATTAGACTTTTGAAATTCCAAACATCTTTCAAACAATTGCAACTGCATACCTTAATTTTGGTTACCGGGATTTTAAGGAGATTCACTTTTAGCGTACAATATTTGTAGGTCCGATTCACCGACTTCAGATAGCAATATTCAAAGTTGCAGAACTCGGGGTCCACTACTTCGCATTTGATGTTGGTGAACTCAACTAGAGAATGAACCTGCAAACAGGAATTATTTTTCGGTTTAAAATTTCCATAAGTTAAAATCATTTTGTACCTGTCTGATCAAATGCAAATTCACTAGGAAAACGACGAGAAAATGTATTTTTCCATCCATCTTTTATGGTTGAAGTTTCCATAAAAACTGAACTAAGTTCCAAGCTCAGCTCGACCATATGAAAAACCGTTTAGGAACCAATAAATACCTAGAATAGAATCGTAATTAGAATTAGTTAATAATTGCAATAAATCAATATTTTTTGTATCATTAATAAAACTTTTCTGCGTGAAATGAGAGTAATTTTAGAATAAAGTCCAAAGTCCATTTCAGTGCCAATGACGGTCTAAAATTTTTAGAGGTAAAAGGCTCAAAACAAAACTTAGTAAGATAAAATTTATATATTTTGAAACAATTCTTCACAAATACCACCAAGCTTTTATTCGTTAGGAGGCTTTTCTTTATTATACCCGTTACTCGTAGAGTAAAAGGGTATACTAGATTCGTTGAAAAGTATGTAACAGATAGAAGGAAGCTTTTGCGACCCTATAAAGTATATATATTCTTGATCAGGATCAATAGCGAAGTCGATTGAGCCATGTCCGTCTGTCCGTCCGTCCGTCCGTCCGTCCGTCCGTCCGTCCGTCCGTCCGTCCGTCCGTCCGTCCGTATGAACGCTGAGATCTCAGGAACTATAGCAGATACAAAGCTGAGATTAAGCATGAAGATTCTTGAGGTCCCGGGACAGCGCAAGTTTATTACAGCATCCTGCCACGCCCACTCTAACGCCCACAAATCGCAAAAAGCTGAAATTGCTGAAATCTCAGGAACTATTGCAGATAGAAAGTTGAATTTCAGAAAGTATAATCTTTAGATGACAGCGCATCTTATAGTGGTACTACTATCCGGCCACACCCACCCATACGCCCACAAGGTTCAAAAGACCGTTTTCGGATTTTCTAGAAAAGCTGATATCTCGGTAACTATAAGAGATAGAAAGTTCGGATCAAGCATGTATGTTTCTATGATGCTCCCAATGCGAATTGTTTTTTTCCGATCACGCCACGCCCACTCTAACGCCCACAAAACCCGAAAAACCAAAAATGCAAAAATCTCGAAAACTATAAAAGCTACACAATTTTGCTTAGGAACACGTATTTAGGAGATGCCTCTGCAACTTGCCACGAAGTTGCTTCCGGCCACGCCCACTCTAACGCCCACAAACCGCGGAAAACTGTGGAGTCTATAATATTATTATGAATGCCTTCGTTTGACCTTTTGTAACTTATATCTGTTAATATCTATCGATTTACAAAAGATTTTTCAAATCGGAACATTATTTCGCTATTTATGAAGAAATTAAGGTTATAAGGCTCCACATGGGCAGTGACGTCACTATAAGCATACTCAACATACTTCCTCTGACAATAGGTGGCGCCTTGTGAATTTCCACTAGCAAAATTAATATTTTAAAATTGTGTAAAACAGTAACGGGTATCTTATAGTCGCGGCACTCGACTATAGCGTTTCCTCTTGTTATTTTTATAGATATGTTTAGGAATAAAAGGTTATGAACATAAATAACAGCCCTTAAAATGCCTCTGGACATCCAGTTTAATTTTATCCAGAATTTATTTTAATTTCTTAGTTAGACTTTTAAGGGCAAAACTTTTAAGGAGTAAAAGGGCATCTAAAAACTTTAATAACATTAAATTTTAAAAATGCTTCAGAAAATAAATCTTAGTGTAAGTCAACGTAAAATATGAGAAGGAAATGTGATTAGCATCAGATATTTTTCCGGTTACTCGTAGAGTAAAAGGGTATACTAGATTCGTTGAAAAGTATGTAACAGGTAGATGGAAGCGTTTCTCGAGAACTATAAGTGATAGAAAGTTTCGATTCAACATGTATAATGCCTCCAATGCGAATTGTTTTCTCCGATTAAGCCACGCACTCACACGACTAACGCCCACAAAACTCGAAAAACCAAAAACACAAAAAATCTCGGGAACTATAAGAGCCAGAAAGTTAGGGTTAAGAATATGTATTTAAGAGATGCTACTGCAACTTGTCCCTAGTTTTCATCTGGCCACGCCCACTCTATTGCCCAGTGCATGTCTTCGTTTGACCTTGTATACCATATTTTTGTCAATATCTATCGATTCACCAATGATTTTTCAAATCTGAACATTATTTCGCTATTTAAGAAGTCATTTAGCTTATAAGACCTTCAATGGGCAGTGACGTCAGTACTGTCAGTTACTCAACATGCTTTCTGTGACAATAGGTGGCGCTTTGTGGATTTCCAATGGCAAAATGAATATTTTAAAATTGTGTTAAACAATAACGGGTATCTTACAGTCGCGGCACTCGACTATAGCGTTTCCTCTTGTTGAACATAAGTTCACTGCAATTGTCTAACAATTTAGATCCACCGAGGTGGTTTTTTATTTGCATTCTTTATGTTTTTATTCTTGCATTTGTGTTAACAACATAGGAATATAACGTTAGATCTACGACAGTTTGGAAATCTATAGGTTTGAAATAATAATCAAGATAATACGAAGTATATCTTAAAGACAGCTCGCAAAATGTCATAGGCAATCCAGTTCATTTGGACCAAGTACTTTCCGTCCGGAAAAGGCAGAATCTTAGTCACTCGGTCATTAAAAAACTGAGTTGACAGTTTATCCACCACAAGGTCATGCTGAAATCTGATGTTTAGCAAATTTTTCAGTTAAAAAAAGTCACTTACGTCGTAGGGGCAAGAGTGGTTCATATTGGAAATATCCTTGAAGAAACCATGGATGTAGCCAGTAATCGGGTTGGATTTCGGATTTTTGAGGAACTTGCATGCATCGACAGTAACATTGTACATGAAGGGTTTATAGCCGTTGGCAAACTTATAAATAGCAGAGTTCAGCTGTATTGCACTTTTGAAATTTAAAAAATTTTTTTAAAATATTTTTCTACATACCTTAACTTTGGTTACCGGAGTTTTATAGAGATTCACCTTTAGAACATAGTATTTGTAGGTCCGGTTCACCGACTTCAGAAAACAATATTCAAAGTTGCAGAAATCGGGGTCAACTACTTCGCATTTGATGTTCGTAAACTCAACTAGAGAATGAACCTGCAAGATAGAGGAAGTATTCGATTGATTTCTATCTTATGATTTTGTAGAATGTTTTTCTACTTTTCTGATCAAAAATAAATTCACCACAACGGCAACCATTATGCTAAGCACTCTCTTCATCTCTTATGCTGGATGTCTAAAAAAGAACTGATTTGGGTTTTTGACTAAGCTCGACAATATCAAAAAACCATTTAAAAGTCAATTATTTAACACTTATTAAAAAAATACATCATAAATGAAATCTCAGTGTAGATTAACGTGATCTAAAAATAGAAAAATTTTTTAAAATTCACCCGTTTTTCCGGTGTTTGATGGTTGGATGTATATGGTAATTGAGCAGCAATTTATATCTACTTAAGCCGATTTTTTTTTGATACTTCATAATTTTTTATTTTTGAATTTATGATCTCATTAATAATAGATACTATTAATAATAGATTTTCTACTACAACTGATTTCATAGATCATTCAGCTCAAAATAGTACTCAAGATAGTACGTTGTATAACTTGAACACGGCTCGAGAAATGTCATGGACAAGAACGTTCATTTGGATCAAGTACTTTCCGTCCGGAAAAGGGAGAAGATATTTCGCTCGTTGATTAAAAAACGCAGTTGTTAGTTTATCCACCACAATGTCATGCTATAATCTGATATTTATCAATTTATTTTGTAGTCATTTATATATATACTTACGTCGTAAGGGCATGTGTGGTTCATATTGGAATGGTCCTTAAAATAGCCATAAAAGTAGCCAAAAATTGGGTTTGATTTTTGGTTTTTTAGGAACTTGCAGGCATCGACAGTAACATTGTACATGAAGGGCTTATAGCCATTAGCGAACTTATAAATAGCGGCGTTTACCTGTTTTCGACTTTTGAAATTCCAAATATCATTAAAACATATTTCACTCACATACCTTAACTTTGGTTATTGGAATTTTAAAAAGATTCACTTTTAGCGAATAATATTTGTAGGTCCGATTAACAGACTTCAGATAGCAATATTCGATATTGCAGAAATCGGGGTCCGCTACTTCGCATTTGATGTTAGTGAACTCAACTAGAGAATGAACCTGCACATAGGGATTTTTTTCGGTTCAAAATTTCCATAAGTTAAAATCATTTTGTACCTGTCTGATCAAATGGAAATTCACTAGGAAAACGGCGAGAAAATGTATTTTTCCATTCATCTTTTATGGTTGAAGTTTCCATAAAAACTGAACTAAGTTCCAAGCTCAGTTCGGCCGTATGAAAAACCGTTTAGGAACCAATAAATACCTAGAATAGAACCGGTAATTAGAATTAGTTAATATTTGCAATAAATCAATATTTTTTGTATCATTAATAAAACTTTTCTGCGTGAAATGAGAGTAATTTTAGAAAAATGTCCAAAGTCTATTTCAGTGCGAATGAAGGTATACAATTTTTTGAGGTAAAAGGATCAAAACAAAACTTAGAAAGATAAAATTTATACATATAATTTGAAAAAATTCTTCACAAGTAAACCGACATAAAAATGCAATAATCGAAATCGTTGAAAATGCAAGTGTATAACAATATATATATATCTAGGCGAAGAGGGCAATACACGTAGTGACGAATATCACATGTAATTAACTACTTATTATAATAGAATCAAAATATGAAATGTACCTACTTTGTAGTTGACAAATAACAGATCGGATAGAAAAATTACATTTGTACATTAAATTATTACGTGATAAAATAAAAATAATATTGGAAAACTAATAAAAAGATTGTTGGTTTAAAAATAAAAGGGGGAAAAAAATCTTGATTCAAAAAATCTTAATATGAAAACTTAACTTTGCTGCAGTTGCGTTCGTCACCAAACTTTTATTCGTTAAGAAGCTTTTTTGAATCTATTTATGTATTATTTGTATAAGTATGTGTATATCGTAATATCTTATAACCCAGCAAGCAATTGGAAGATCGTTCAAATACGATATTTAAAATAGCAAAAACAAAATTGTAAAGCAATCGAAAATTAATCATCCATATGATTGAAATGAGATTATTTGTTGCTTTGCATTAACATTTGGTGAGAGAACTTGTAGCCTAACCGCGCTCTCTCTCTTGGTTTTCTGTTCTCTGCTTTATGTCGTTCATCTTATTCAAACGGTACTTTTCACAAAATTTGAAGTGGTTGTGCAGTGTTCTGCATTTTTTAACTCCGTTTTAGTAACTTTCTGAGCTCAGTGAGATTAGGTAAGGGGAAAAGAATATGTCGGCCAAAAATATTAGAAAATTGGCTACAAATTTATAGTTGGAAAGGCACCAGCATAAAGCCAAGCGCTGAAAAGTGCTTCCTTATAACAATAATAAAAAGTAAGAAAATATTTCTATTATTGGTGAAAAAAAGTTAATATTTTTCTCCTCCTAGATATTTGCCACATAAAATTCAAGAGCACGTCTAAGGACATGAACATGGTTTTTCAAAAATTTTTCGTACATGCCAAAGACCGGGTTAAAAAAAGAAAGCGCGTGAATTTGTTTAGTTGCTTTTTGATATACATATCATATACATACATATAATAAATAAAAAATACCAGAACAAAATATTATTGAATATTTCATTTATTTTCGATTCTTATATGACTCGAAAAAGACTCGCCCCTTGCGAGGGAAATGAGTCGAAAGCGACTCTTCCTGAGCTGTCGAATACGACTCTTTAGGAAGAGTCGCGGCTAGGGTTCCATTTTCTCCCGAACAGAGTATCTTTTTCGATCAGAAAACGAGCGCACTTATGCTTATTTTGCTCTTCTAGGAGAGTCGACAATGACTCATATTCGATAAGAAATTTCATAAAATGGGTATATTTAAGATAGGGAAAGGGGCACCGAAATAACAGTCCTTGAAATGTCTCTGGACATCAAGTTTAATTTTAAGAAAAAGTCCAAGTTAGACTTTTAAGTGCAAACATTAAAAAGTTTAAAAAAAGTTTTAAAAAATACTTCAGAAAATAAATCTCAGTGAAGATAAAAATAAAATATGAGAAGGATATGAGATTAGCATCAGATATTTTTCCGGTATTTGATTTTTGAATATATGCTAATTGCAATTGTCCAGCAATTTAGATCCACCGATCCAACCGTGGTTTTTTATTTGCATTCTTCGTGTTTTTATTCTTGCATTTGTGTTAACAACATATGAATATAACTTTATTTCTACGAAAGTGTGCAATACTATAAGTTTGAAATAATAATCAAGATACTTGGATATATATCTTAAACACAGCTCTGATAGTGTCATAGGCCATCCAGTTCATTTGGAACAAGTACTTTCCCTCCGGAAAAGGAAGAAGATATTTCATTCGTTGATTAAAAACCTCAGTTGTAAGTTTGTCCACCACAAGGTCATGCTGAAATCTGATGTTTAGCAAAGCGTTCAGTCATATAAAGATACTTACGTCGTAGGGACAAGAGTGATTAATATTGGAAAAATCCTTGAAGAAACCATAGACGTAGCCAGCAATGGGGTTGGATTTTGGATTTCTTAGGAACTTGCAACCATCAACAGTAACATTGTAGAGAAAGGGCTTATAGCCATTGGCGAAATTATAAATGGCAAAGTTGACCTGTATTACACTTTTGAAGTATTAAATTAAATTTTTTTTTAATATTTCACTGCTTACCTTAACTTTGGTTACTGGAGTTTTATAGAGATTCACTTTTAGCATAAAATATTTATAGGTCCGATTCACCGACTTCAGATAGCAATATTCGAAGTTGCAGAAATCGGGGTCAACTACTTCACATTTGATATTGGTAAATTCCACTAAAGAACGGACCTGCAAAGGTAGAGGCAGGATTCGATTGATTTCTATTTTATAATAGAATGATTTTGTACTTCTCTGAGCAAATGTACATTCACTAGGAAAGCAACAAGACAATAAAGCTCTCTCCTCATCTCCTAGGCTGGAGGTCTGCAAAATAACTGATTTAGGTTTTAGACTTAGTTCGACCGTATCAAAAAACCATTTAAATGTCAATTATTTTAGCTAGACTGCAGCACTTACTCATACCAATTAGATAATAAAGTTAATAGAGCAATATTTTATAAATTATCTAATTACTTTTTTAGATTCAGCAACTAAAGCATATAATGTTAGTCGACTTTTAATAGCAAACATTTTAAGAAGCGAAGGTAAATCAAAAAATTTTAATAATATTACACCTACAGAATTTGAAAAATACTTCAGAAAATAAATCTCAGTGTAGATTAAATCCCTTTTTTCGGTATTTGATTTCTGAATATATGTTAATTGCAATTGTCCAGCAATTAGATCCAGTGAGGTAGTTTTTTATTTAGATTCTTTTATTCTTTTATTCTTGTATTTGTGTTAAAAATATTTGAATATAAAACTCCAGTTTATAATAATAATCAAGACAGTTGAATGTATATCTTAAACACAGCTCGCTTAATGTCATAGGCCATCCAGTTCATTTGGAACAAGTACTTCCCCTCCGCAAAAGGCAGAACAGTAGTCATTCGGTGATTAAACAACTGAGTTGTTATTTTATCCACCACAAGGTCATGCTAAAATATGACCTTTATCAAATAGTTCAGACATTTATATATACTTACGGCGTAAGGGCAAGTGTGGTTCATGTTAGAATTGTCCTTAAAGTAGCCATAAATGTAGCCAGCAAGTGGATTTGAGTTTGGATTTCTTAGGAACTTGCAGGCATCAACAGTTAAATTGTAAAGGTTGGACCTATGGCCATTGGCGAACTTATAAATGGCAGCGTTAACCTGCATTGGACTTTTGAAATTCTGAACATCTTTCAAACAATTGCAACTGCATACCTTAATTTTGGTTACCGGGATTTTAAGGAGATTCACTTTTAGCGTACAATATTTGTAGGTCCGGTTCACCGACTTCAGATAGCAATATTCAAAGTTGCAGAAATCGGGGTCCACTTCTTCGCATTTGATGTTCGTAAACTCAACTAGAGAATGAACCTGCAAAAAGAAATTATTTTTCTATTTAAAATTTCCATAAGTTAAAATCATTTTCTACCTCTCTGATCAAATGGAAATGCACTAGGAAAACGACGAGAAAATGTATTTTTCCATCCATCTTTTACGGTTGAAGTTTCCATAAAAACTGAACTAAGTTCCAAGCTCAGCTCGACTGTATGAAAAACCGTTTAGGAAACAATAAATACCTAGAATAAAACCGGTAATTAGAATTAGTTAATATTTGCAAAAAATCAATATTTTTTGTATCATTAATAGAACTTTTCTGCGTGAAATGAGAGTAATTTTAGAATAAAGTCTAAAGTCCATTTAGGTGCGAATGACGGTATAAAATTTTTAGAGGTAAAAGGATCAAAACAAAACTTAGTAAGATAAAATTTATATATATTTTGAAAAAATTCTTCACAAATAAACGAAGCTTTTATTCGTTAAGAGGGTTTTTTTTTATTATTTTTATAAGTATGTGTAGGGATAAAAGGTTATCCAGAATAAACATAAATAACAGCCCTAAAATGCCTCTGGACATCCAGTTTAATTTTATCCATAATTTATTTTAATTTCTTAGTTAGACTTTTAAGGGCAAAACTTTTAAGGAGTAAAAGGGCATCTAAAAACTTTAATAACATTAAATTTTAAAAATGCTTCAGAAAATAAATCTTAGTGTAAGTCAACGTAAAATAAGAGAAGGAAATGTGATTAGCATCAGATATTTTTCCGGTTACTCGTAGAGTCGTAGAGGGTATACTAAAATCGTTGAAAAGTATGTAACAGGTAGAAGGAAGCGTTTCCGACCCTATAAAGTATATATATTCTTGATCAGGATCAATAGCGAAGTCGATTGAGCCATGTCCGTTTGTCCGTCCGTCCGTCCGACCGTCCGTATGAACGATGAGAACTCAGGAGCTATGAGAGATACAAAGTTGAGAATAAGCATGAAGATTCTTGGGGTCCATACGCAGCGGAAGTTTATTCTTTATGTTTTTATTCTTGCATTTGTGTTAACAACATATGAATATAACGTTAGTTCTACGACAGTTTGGAAATCTATAGGTTTGAAATAATAATCAAGATAATACGAAGTATATCTTAAAGACAGCTCGCAAAATGTCATAGGCAATCCAGTTCATTTGGACCAAGTACTTTCCGTCCGGAAAAGGCAGAATCTTAGTCACTCGGTCATTAAAAAACTGAGTTGACAGTTTATCCACCACAAGGTCATGCTGAAATCTGATGTTTAGCAAATTTTTCAGTTAAAAAAAGTCACTTACGTCGTGGAAATATCCTTGAAAAAACCATGGATGTAGCCAGTAACCGCGTTGGATTTCGGATTTTTGAGGAACTTGCATGCATCGACAGTAACATTGTACATGAAGGGTTTATAGCCGTTGGCAAACTTATAAATAGCAGAGTTCAGCTGTATTGCACTTTTGAAATTTTAAAAATTTTTTTAATTTTGTTTTCTACATACCTTAACTTTGGTTACCGGAGTTTTATAGAGATTCACCTTTAAAAGATAGTATTTGTAGGTCCGGTTCACCGATTTCAGAAAACAATATTCAAAGTTGCAGAAATCGGGGTCAACTACTTCGCATTTGATGTTCGTAAACTCAACTAGAGAATGAACCTGCAAGATAGAGGCAGTATTCGATTGATTTCTATCTTATGATTTTGTAGAATGTGTTTCTACTTTTCTGATCAAAAATAAATTCACCACAACGGCAACCATTATGCTAAGCACTCTCTTCATCTCTTATGCTGGAGGTCTAAAAAAGAACTGATTTGGGTTTTTGACTAAGCTCGACAATATCAAAAAACCATTTAAAAGTCAATTATTTAACACTTATTAAAAAAATACATCAGAAATGAAATCTCAGTGTAGATTAACGTGATCTAAAAATAGAAAAATTTTTTAAAATTCACCCGTTTTTCCGGTGTTTGATGGTTGGATGTATACGGTAATTGAGCAGCAATTTATATCTACTTAAGCCGATTTTTTTTTTGATACTTCATATTTTTTTATTTTTGAATTTATGATCTCAGTACATGATATTAATAATAGATTTTCTACTACAACTGATTTCATAGATCATTCAGCTAAAAATAGTATTCAAGATAGTACGTTGTATAACTTAAACACGGCTCGAGATATGTCATAGGCAAGAAAGTTCACTTGGATCAAGTACTTTCCGTCCGGAAAAGGGAGAAGATATTTCGCTCGTTGATTAAAAAACGCAGTTGATAGTTTATCCACCACAATGTCATGCTATAATTTGATCTTTATCAATTTATTTTGTAGTCATTTATATATATACTTACGTCGTAAGGGCATGTGTGGTTCATATTGGAATGGTCCTTGAAATAGCCATAAAAGTAGCCAAAAATTGGGTTTGATTTTTGGTTTTTTAGGAACTTGCAGGCATCGACAGTAACATTGTACATGAAGGGCTTATAGCCATTAGCGAACTTATAAATAGCGGCGTTTACCTGTTTTCGACTTTTGAAATTCCAAATATCATTAAAACATATTTTACTACATACCTTAACTTTGGTTATTGGAATTTTAAAAAGATTCACTTTTAGCGAATAATATTTGTAGGTCCGATTAACAGACTTCAGATAGCAATATTCGAAATTGCAGAAATCGGGATCCACTACTTCGCATTTGATGTTCGTAAACTCAATTAGAGATTGAACCTGCAATGTACAGTTCGCAGGGATGAAATTTCGATTTCGATTTTCGATAAATGAAATGGGATTTTATTACCTCTCTGATCAAATGTACATTCACCAGGAAAGCGACGAGTAAATAGAGTTCTCTCTTCATCTCTTAGGCAGGAGGTCCGAAAAAGAACTGATTTAGATTTAAGCTAACCTCGACTATATCTAAAAGCATTTAAAAGCACTCATTTTGGCTAGATTATGGTACTTACGCAAACATCGATTAGTTGATAAGTTAATAGAGCAATATTTTGTTGTTTACCTAATTACATGCATGGATAAAAATTGAGTTATTTTCAAGGAAAATGGCTTAGTATGGCCTTAAAGTTCAAGTCAGGATTTACAAATTCTAAGAGGCAACACGATCCACACAACCTTTTATAATATTAAACTTACTTATATTAAAAATATTTCAGAAATTAAATCTCAGTCTAGATTCACGTGAAATAAAAATAAAATAAAATGATTAGCATCAACGGGTTTTCCGGTGTTTCGTGGTTGGATGTAGATGGTAATTGCCCAGCACTTCAGATTTAGTCAGGTGAATATTTTTGATTCTATATATTTCTGTTCCTGAATTTATGTTCACACTGTGTGACATCAATAATACATTTTTATCTTATAATATTGTTCAAGTCATTGAGATGTATACCTTAAATACAGCTCGCATAATGTCATAGGCCATCCAGTTCATTTGGAACAAGTACTTTCCCTCCGCAAAAGGAAGAACAGTAGTCATTCGGTGAGTAAACAACTGAGTTGTTATTTTATCCACCACAAGGTCATGCTAAGATATAATATTTATTAAATTGTTCAGTCATTTATGTTTACTTGTACTTACGTCGTAAGGGCAAGTGCGGTTCATGTTAGAATTGTCCTTAAAGTAACCGTAGATGTAGCCAGCAAGTGGATTTGAGTTTGGATTTTTTAGGAACTTGCAGGCATCAACAGTAAAATTGTAAAGGTTGGACTTATGGCCATTGGCGAACTTATAAATGGCAGCGTTAACCTGTATTAGACTTTCAAAATTCTAAACATCTTTCAAACAATTGCAACTGCATACCTTAATTTTGGTTACAGGGATTTTAAGGAGATTCACTTTTACCGTATAATATTTGTAGGTCCGGTTCACCGACTTCAGATAGCCATATTCGAAATTGCAGAAATCGGGGTCTACTACTTCGCATTTGATGTTGGTAAACTCACCTAGAGAATGAGCCTGCACATAGGGATTTTTTTTCGGTTCAAAATATCCATAAGTTAAAATCATTTTGTACCTCTCTGATCAAATGAAAATTCACCAAGAAAACGACGAAAAAACGTATTTTTCCATTCATCTTTTATGGTTGAAGTTTCCATAAAAACTGAACTAACCGAATCGAAAACCATTTAGAAACCAATAAATAATTAGAATAGGACAGTAATTAGAATTAGTTAATAATTGCAATAATGCAATATTTTTTGTATAATTACTAGTTATTAACGAACTCTTCTGCGTGAAATAACAGTAATTTTAGAAAAAAGTCCAAAGTCTATTTCAGTGCGAATGAAGGTATACAATTTTTTGAGGTAAAAGGATCAAAAAAACAACTTAGAAAGATAAAATTTATATAATTTTAGATAAAAATTCTTCACAAAAAAACCGGCTTAAAAATGCTATAATCGAAATCGTTGAAAATGCAAGTGTATAACATTATATACATATATATAGTCGAAAAGGGCAATACACGTAGTGACGAATATCACATGTAATTAACTACTTATTATACTACAATCTACCTAGTTGGTAGGTTACAAATAACAGATCGGATAGAAAAATTTAATTTGTACATTAAATTATTACGTGATAAAAAAAATTAATATGGGAAAACTAATAAAAAGATTGTTGGTTTAAAAATAAAAGGGGAAAAAATATCTTAATATGAAAACTTAACTTTGCTGCAGTTGCGTTCGTCACCAAACTTTTATTCGTTAAGAAGCTTTTTTGAATCTATTTATGTATTATTTGTATAAGTATGTGTATATCGTAATATCTTATAACCCAGCAAGCAATTGGAAGATCGTTCAAATACGATATTTAAAATAGCAAAAACAAAATTGTAAAGCAATCGAAAATTAATCATCCAGATGATTGAAATAAGATTATTTGTTGCTTTGCATTAACATTCGGTGAGAGAACTTATAGCTTAACCGCGCTCTCTCTCTTGGTTTTCTGTTCTCTGCTTTATGTCGTTCATCTTTTAACTCCGCATTCTGCATTTTTTAACTCCGTTTTAGTAACTTTCTGAGCTCAGTGAGATTAGGTAAAAGAAAAAGAATATGTCGGTCAAAAATATTAGAAAATTGGCTACAAATTTATAGTTGGAAAGGCACCAGCATAAAGCCAAGCGCTGAAAAGTGCTTCCTTATAACAATAATAAAAAGTAAAAAAAATATTTCTATTATTGGTAAAAAAAAGTTAAATATTTTTCTCCTCCTAGATATTTGCCACATAAAATTCAAGAGCACGTCTAAGGACATGAACATGGTTTTTCAAAAATTTTTCGTACATGCCAAAGACCGGGTTAAAAAAAGAAAGCGCGTGAATTTGTTTAGTTGCTATTTGATATTCATATCATATACATATAAAAAATAAAAACTACCAGAATTTGTTTATATTTTACTTTCGGCATTTTACTACTCGCTTTATTAAAGTTCACAGCTCCAAGTGATTGCTGGCAACACTTTAGCCAACATATCAATCTTCGATGGCCCTATCGATTAGAAATATATTCACGATCATATGAAACGCACATAAGCATCGGCAATAAAAGAACAAGCATATTTTTCTTACGAAACAACGCGTTAATGACGTAAATACATTTAAAGCTAGAATATACTAGATGAATTTTAAAATAAGCTATATTTCAAGCTATAAGCTAGATCGGGAGTTTTCAAGCTTTTCCAGTTCAAAATATGCTAGAACTAGCTTATAATAAGCTAAACTGGCAACACTGCTTGCGAGGGAAATGAGTCGAAATCGACTCTTCCTGAGCTGTCGAACAGCCAGCAATTTAGATCCACCGATCCCACCGTAGTTTTTTATTTGCATTCTTCATATTTATACCCGTTACTCGTAGAGTAAAAGGGTATACTAGATTCGTTGAAAAGTATGTAACAGATAGAAGGAAGCTTTTGCGACCCTATAAAGTATATATATTCTTGATCAGGATCAATAGCGAAGTTGATTGAGCCATGTCCGTCTGTCCGTCCGTCCGTCCGTCCGTATGAACGCTGAGATCTCAGGAACTATAGCAGATACAAAGTTGAGATTAAGCATAAAGATTCTTGAGGTCCCGGGACAGCGCAACTTTATTACAGCATCCTGCCACGCCCACTCTAACGCCCACAAATCGCAAAAAACTAAAATTGCTGAAATCTCAGGAACTATTGCAGTTAGAAAGTTGAAATTCAGAAAGTATAATCTTTAGATGACAGCGCATCTTATAGTAGTACTTATAATCCGCACCCACCCATACGCCCACAAGGCTCAAAAGACGGTTTACGGATTTTCTAGAAAAGCTGATATCTCGGTAACTATAAGTGATAGAAAGTTCGAATTAAGCATGTAGGTTTCTATGATGCTCCCAATGCGAATTATTTTTTTCCGATCAAGCCACGCCCACTCTAACGCCCACAAAACCTGAAAAACCAAAAATGCAAAAATCTCAAAAACTATAAGAGCCACACAATTTTGCTTAGAAACACATATTTAGGGGATGCCTCTGCAACTTGCCACGAAGTTGCATTCAGCCACGCCCACTCTAACGCCTACAAACCGCGGAAAACTGTGGCGTCTATAATATTATTATGAATGCCTTTGTTTGACCTTGTATAACTTATTTCTGTTAATATCTATCGATTTACCAAAGGTTTTTCAAATCGGAACATTATTTCGCTATTTATGAAGAAATTAAGGTTATAAGGCCTCACATGGGCAGTGACGTCACTATAAGCATACTCAACATACTTCCTCTGACAATAGGTGGCACCTTGTGAATTACCACTAGGAAAATAATATTTTAAAGTTTTGTAAAACAGTAACGGGTATCTTATAGTCGCGGCACTCGACTATAGCGTTTCCTCTTGTTTTATTCTTGCTTTTGGGTTAACAACATATGAATATAACGCTATTTCTACGAAAGTGTGCAATACTATAACTTTGAAGTAATAATCAAGATACTTGGATATATATCTTAAACACAGCTCTGATAGTGTCATAGGCCATCCAGTTCATTTGGAACAAGTACTTTCCCTCCGGAAAAGGAAGAAGATATTTCATACGTTGATTAAACAAATCAGTTGTAAGTTTGTCCACCACAAGGTCATGCTGAAATCTGATGTTTAGCAAAGCGTTCAGTCATATAAAGATACTTACGTCGTAGGGACAAGAGTGGTTAATATTGGAAAAATCCTTGAAGAAACCATAGACGTAGCCAGCAATGGGGTTGGATTTTGGATTTCTTAGGAACTTGCAACCATCAACAGTAACATTGTAGAGAAAGGGCTTATAGCCATTGGCGAAATTATAAATGGCAAAGTTGACCTGTATTAAAGTTTTGAAGTATTAAATTTGTTTTTAATATTTCACTGCTTACCTTAACTTTGGTTACTGGAGTTTTATAGAGATTCACTTTTAGCATAAAATATTTATAGGTCCGATTCACCGACTTCAGATAGCAATATTCGAAGTTGCAGAAATCGGGGTCCACTACTTCACATTTGATGTTCGTAAACTCCACCAGCGAATGGACCTGGGAAAAACGGCATATAGAAATAACTTTTTATAGGTTTATAGACCACCATGAAATATGGGTGATTACCATATTTCCAACAACCAAAAGATAGATAAGTACAACTTTTTCCTTTCTATTCAACATGGCGTATGGAGAGGAACTGATAGGGAATTCTTAACTTTTGAACTCAACATTACCGATTATTTCGATTAGTAATTTTACGGCTCATTTACTAAAACTAAATGGTGTATTAAGATTTTACACAAATTGCCCAATTTTATTATAACAATTATAGATAACGTTATGTTTTGATGAGGAATAAACTGTGTTAATGTGTAGTTTATATAGTCTCTATTGTGATTACCTTCATATATGATCTAAATACAATTTATATCTGGTCTAAAATGTCTAAAAATTAAAGAGATCTTGAGCTTAAAACACAAAAAACTGAGTAATTATGCAGTTCTAGAAATAAATTAATCATTTCCGACCTTTTTTAAGTCCGTTTGACACTGCTTGACCCTTCTTTGTGTTTCATAATTTTAATAAACTCATTTCAGTCCAAGAGTCCAATGTGTAGGAAAGGTGATTATGAATGGCTGTCCCAAAAAAAACTGTAGATTGCACTGGCAAACTACACTTAAAACAATTGTGTGTTAAATGTGAAAAAATAAGTTATTTGTGTTACAAATTATTTTGTATCACAAAAGTGTTTCCTTTTTCCATGCTATATTCTTATTATTAAATTGAATTTGATGTACAATTTTGATCAGTGTATTTACGCTGAAAATCAGATAGACAATGTGTCTGCGGGTATATCCTTTAGAATCCTCCGGCAAAATGAATAATTAATGTTGCAACTGCTCTGCGGTTTTGTACGTGCGGTTAGGAAGTACAAACGCAAATACACGGAAGTTGGGTGAGTGGGTGGCACATTGGGTGGCCAGATACTAATTGCATTCACGGTTGCATGGGCTCGAAAAAGTGTGGTTATGGTTGATTCATTGACCTTGCGGGAGCTTAGAAAGTAATTTAAAATTGAAAATAAATACAGAATCGTTGTCAATTTGCTATCAAAATGCTATTTGATAAGCTGACCTTAATCAGTGGGAAATTTTGAAAAAAATTTAAATGAAAATTTGACAGTTTTTTTTTGTATTATTGTAGGATTAAACGATGTCGTAACATACAAATATAGGTTTTAGGGTTAGGTTTTACGGATTACAGCTTAGAAATTTCAATAAATTAACCCTTATTGAGAGTAGTACCAACTAATACTTAATCCCTTTGCTGGCCGAAATAATTTTGACAGGTGCACTTATTACGTAGCTTTATGGCAATTACTTTCTGCCCGCCCACTTGGCAACCCACCCCGCCGCAATTAGTCGGCAAATGTATGCTCAAAGTGACATTTATGAAAATGAAAGAAAAAGGGAGCATAATTTATTTTCCTGCTGATGTGTGTCAGCGAGAGCGAAAGAGGCAGAGATAGAGAGAGAGAGATAAAGAGAGAGCGGCGGTGAAACCGAAATAGAAGGACATTTTCATTAAGGGTATGGAAGATGAAAGATCTGCAATGCGAGCAAATCTGTGAAGCGCACTGGAAAATATACATATACATTTTTCATATTAACCCTCGAAAAAATCCACACACAGTTTTTCTCTTCGGTTTCTGTTGCGTTTTTGTTTTTCGCTTTTTTCTCAACGTGAATTCGTAATGAGCACTTGCGGTACACGATATATAGTGCTTATTCCGATTTCGAATCCGAGTCTCGACGCTCGACTACAAGATACCGAAAGGCATAACAACAGCAGTCGCTCGCACACAAACATATACACACTAATACACACACTACACATTATTTGCCTGTGTTTGCCGCCCGTTCATCGTTCCATTTACGACGCCAGCATGCCATCTACAGCACAGGCACAGCATAGCACAAGCACAAAAGTACCACGTACCCCGTGTCCAATTTGGTGGTGATATCCAAAAATAACTTATTTTATTATTTGTATGTTTTATACATTTTTCAGTTAAACTAACTTTTATACTATAGTAAAATCTTGTCCGATATATTTTATATAATATAATTATTAAATAAAAAACAAATTTAAGGAGTAAACGAGTTTAAATAACAAAATTTTTTATAACTGCTGCCTTGGCCTCTAGCATTTCCAACTGGGCACCTTGTTTTCCTCATTTTCGCTTTGCGTGACGTGACGTTGTGTTGGGAGGGGTGAGGAACGGTGGGGTGAAGGTGGTTTAGTTGCCTTAAGGGGCGGGGGGCATGGCTTTGGTATTGGCATATTTTCTGCCGACAGAGGCGTCGCGTCGTGCGCAAACATGGCGTTGCTTTTGCTTTTGCTGTTGCCTCTGCCTCTGCTTCTTCTGCTTTTTGCATTCGCTTGGCCAAAAGTGCGCCGCCACACACACACACACAAACACATATAAAATATTTACTTTTGGATTGCAGGCGAGCCAACCCCCTCGCCCAACACCCCGGCACCCCTCCTCTATTCAAAGGAATATTTACATTTTGATTGGGAAACTGCTGAGGCTCATTTTACGTCTACACTTGTGTGTACGTGGGTGTAGTTTAACATTCAGCTCTTGTCGTTGTTTATTCTTTTTCTCCTTTTTCGTTTCGATTCGTTTCGTTCACGTGCATGCCCTATGTATCTGTGTGCGTGTGTGCTTGTGTGTGCTATCCGCTTTTGTCCAATTATAATTTGTTTCGATTTATCACACGATGTTTTATTGAGACAAGACAACAACAAACATACATAGGACAACAACAAAGAGAGCAACAAGATACCTAACGAATGATTAATTAATCGGCGAGAACCCAAATTCGATAATCTTATGACAATCGTCCATCTATTTATTATATCGAATTGAGCTATTTCAAATATTTTCGAAACGCTTAAGCCGCTTTGGGGCAAGTAGCGCTTACGTAAGACCTTTAATTTTGGGTTTGGCGCGGAAATATTTTTAGGCGTTTATCATTTTTGTCTGTTTTTTTTTATAATAATAGCTTTTGCAATCAAATTTTTAGTGCCTAATTTAAATTAGTAGCCATCTAAATTAATCATGTTTTACGTTTAAGCTGGAAAATTTTAGCTAATTACCTAAGAAATAGCACTCATTAATTAAGTTTTAGTTTTAACAAGGTTTATGCCAAGAACTTGTAAGCTTTTATCGATTATTTACTTTTCAAATTGTTTAAAACTTGGAACTTTCCGTTTTGGTTAGTTGATAACTTTTATATTTTTGTAAAATGTTAAACGGTTCTTAGAAGAAACGTTTAGTTCCCATCATAACTATACTTTTTGGTCATAAAAGGCCAAAGTTTAGGCAAAAGGTTAGGTATTAAACATGATCATTAAAGATTTTATTAGCTAAACTTGTTAGAATGGTTTTTCAGGTAACAGTTTAAAAGTTCAAAAGTTGATATACAAAGAAACAACTTCAAAACTAAACTAAATTTTAGTCCCTCAAAATATTTACTTAAGGTGTTTTCTTATGTGTTTTAGATAAAAATGAGGTGCAACTTAAAGTTTGTTTTTCCATATCTTAAAATTTGATTCCGTTTATTGTTTTTTAGATAATTTTATTTTTTGACCAGCCGGCCGGCCAACTACTTAAACAGAGAGCTTTAACGGTTGATCAACCATCAGACAAAGACATATAGATACGAATATATATTCAATTTCCTCCGAATTCCAACATCTGTCAATCTTAATTTGCAAAACGTTTTCGCTAGAAGAGAGCTTCAAACCTTTTTTTCAACAAAAAATGAACCAAATTGAATCTAAACCCTTTAAGATCATGGATATTTTTTTAAAGAGTGACTTACCTAAAGTACTAATTTGTTAAACTTTAACCAAGACAATTATTAACCAAGGAAAAAGGTCTCATTTTCCGTTTTTGTCTAAACATTAGCGAACGGAACTTGTAGGTCCGTGTAATGACAAAGCAATTTTTCATAATTATTATGTAATATAATTTGGTTCGCCTTTGACAACCTGCGGGATTTGTCACACCCTCGGACTCAGGAAAGACCAGTCGCGACTTTTTGGAATTATGTCACTAATTAGTTTATGCCAGCGATGTTCGGTGGAATTTTAAAGAGGGCTAAGGAGGGTGGCTGGAAAATTGAAATATGCCTGTGGAAAAAGGATGAAGCCCGGGGTGAATGAATCCACTTTTCAGACAGCCTCTCTGTGCCTCGGTTTTTCTCCCCATTTTTTGTGACTGCCGCTTTTCCCTTCCCCAGGGATATTGCAAAATTTGCAATTTAAGAGCTTAAATTTGTTGTTGCCGCTGCGACTCTGGCTTAATCTCTGACTTTGTTAACTTTAAAATTCCAATTAAACTGGATTTAAATTACATGAATGGCCAGGCTTTTTGCTAAAAAATTTGCATAATTATGGGCCCGAGAAACTTTCAATATAAAATCGGACCAAAGTGACTCCGTTCCGCCTTGATCAGCATTCAGTTTTCAGTTTTTACTGGTTTTTTTTCTTCTGCCCCGACTAATGATAAGTGGGTGCGGCTCACTGACTTGTTTTCATATAATGGCGCACATAATAACATTCCTTGAGAATAATATCTTAAATTGCATGAAATCATCTGTCGCAAAATTATACAAATTGGTTCTTTGGGGCGTTTGCTGCATAAAACAGTCGTGCTCTTAGCTTTATGTCTTGTTTTGACCATTTTATGACTAGGAAAACAAGAAAAAATAAGCACATATTGTTTATCAGTTGGTATCCTGATTTTACGCAAAAAAAAATGCAGTATTTTGATCAAAACTATATCAAAAAGTGGTAGAAATATAAAATGTTATATATCGTTGAACTCTTAATTAAATTTTTAATCGATTTGTATTCGCTCCTTAAAATGTTAACTTTTTCCATTTTTTCGCTGAATTTTATGAACCCCTAATCTAAAATGTGATAAGCGTTACAATAATTTCTAAATTAAAAAAAAAAAAAAATATTAAATTAAAAAGGTC